TAGAAGAAATGTCCCAAGAAAAAGAGTGAATTGGCCTATCGATATATCACATATAAAATTTCTTAAGTCTTTCTAAATGTTTGTTTCTGCTCTTCTCTACAGACACTTAACACAAATTGTCTTTTTGTAGTCCCATTTCAATTAAAAATTAAAACTGGCTTTGGAGTTGGAGAATGGCTCTCTCTTTCTCTAAACCCAAGCATGTTGTTAAAAGGAAAATGCAAAATCTCTGTATCATGTCAGAAGAAAGAGTCATCTTCTGATATGAGACAGAAGAAAACCAAGAAATTAAGAGACTATTCTATTGCCACTAATCTAAATTCTTTGGTTCTATTTTGATTCTTTAAACTTTTCTTAAGGTATGAATTTTATATCAAAATTTATAAGATTAACTTTTTTTTAACTTTTGTCATGAGATTAATGGTCATATAGAGTACTAATTAATTCTAGAAAAAAAGCTTCAATTAGCTGCCTATACATGTTTTTGTGTTCGAGTCTCTATTAGTTTTTTGCAGGGAACCATGACCAGGCCTAACAGCAAATTTGGAGTCTCCAGAAAAATAATGGGGCCCCTAACAATAACTCCACATGGACAATAATAATACCACTAAGCTGAAAAACTTCACCCAAAGCTTTGGACTAAAAACTGCTCAGAACAATTTCAAGATGGCTAGATGAGATGATCCAGCTTCACAGACTTGAACAAAGACTTGAGATAAGCCCTGCACTTTGGCATTATGCAGAGACTGGACAACAAATGATATAGCTACCTCTCCTGGAACTTGACAATTAAGCCAAAAATTTTCTTTTCAGGATCCCCTAAAGATGCCTTCACCCATAAACAGTAGGAAGCAATTTTAAGAACATGATGCCCACATTCCCAAGAGGTGGGTTGGGGCAGGTGGTTTTTGGTCTTTCAGTGGGTTTTTGGTTTGGGTTGGTTACAAGTTGTTGTTGTTAATGGTTAGGAAAAGGGCTAAACAAAGGAGATTAGATTTAAGGTTCTTGTTTGAAAAAAAAGCAGATATAGATAAGAGGTAGATTATTGAATCTACTCTGAAAAAAAAGAAAAGGTATAGAAATGATAGAATAATGGGTAGATTATTGAATCTACTCTGAAAAGAAAAAAGAGAGTATATAAATATGATATAGATAAAAGGGTAGATTATTGAATCTATCCTTTTAAAAAACTTTTTAAATGACTTTTAAAAAACAACTACTAGTTTTAAATACTTTACATTGAATTGGATTTTTATATATTGTATACAAATTATATATACTGAGATTGATATTGTTAGAAAATGCTGTATGTTCATTTCTAATCTTGTTCAGGATATTGTATTTATACAGTTCATTTAACAATGTAATGCAATTTGCTAATCCTTGAATGTTATTATTACCAACTAGTAGGATATAAAGAAATGAAAGTTAGTAGTTAGACATTACAATCAAACTTGTAGTCATATTAGGTATGTTTTCAAGGTCAAGCAGAGATATATTTTAGATAGACAGGTCACCTTCAAATCCTTCAGAGTTCTACAGAATATAGCATTTAAAATATTTTAATAACTTAGAATTTTCTTCTTTTTTATGACTATGAGACATGTCAGCTCCTGGCAGTACCACACTACTTCAGAGAAGATATGGCACTGAATAAACTGCATATGGAATTAACTTTCATTGTGGCAAAAGTTAGCCACTGGTCAACAAAGTGCCCTCGCATCGACTGCTGACAGTATGCTATCCAAAATGGACAAACAGGACACAAAACAAAGGACTACCAATCCTTGCCAAGACAAATGTGGTTACAGCTTTAGCAACAGGTATCCTCTGAGGCCAGGACAATATGGCACCATCACTGAAGTGGCCAATGGAAAAGGTACAGTGCCCCTTTCTTTGAAGGCAACTGAATAGGCAGTGGACCAATGGCTTCTGGTATGCAGTGGAACCATAGCTGAAGCAGTTATTCTTGAAGGAGTAACTAGGCTGACAGAGTCTGGCCTCTCAATGTTAGACTGGCATTTAATAAAGGAGATGAAGCCATTACTAGATAATATTTCCTTCTTGGGTCTCTGAGGGAGTTGAAGATTAGATAGTTGTAGTAACAATTTTCCTTGTTAAGAAATTTCAGAAAGTAAACTCACTAAGAGGTGTAAAGTGTATAAATTTGAAAGACATTATAGCATTAGTTATAACTTTTTTATTTTTTATTTTCATTAGACAAAAAAGGGGAAATGTGCTATTTTATTTGTGCTGAAATGTGGTGATATTTTATTTATATGTTAATAAAGTTTGCCTGGAGATCAGAGGAAATAGCAAGCCATTAACACAAGTCAGGCAGGGGTAGCACATGCCCTTAATCCAATCACTTGGCAGGCAGGGTCTCTGTGTTTTCAAGGACATACTAGTGAACAGTCAAGTATGGTGACACATGCCTTTAATCCCAGTACCAACCATAGAGACTTGGAGGTCTGTACAGATAGTCAGTGACAAGGAAGTGAGGTAGCTGGGCTAAGAGTCAATGAGAGGGCAGAACAGCAAGGCAAAAAAGGCATGGGTAGATAGGAAGTAGCTCACTTTTTGGGAGATGCAGAGCTGGTGAGGTAAGGTTGGTAGCTATCACTATTTCCCTGATCTCTAAGGCTTTCACCCCTATATTTGGCTCCATGTTTTTTATTTTATAAGACCATTTAGAAATTCTTCTACAAGGGCAGACTTTGAGGTTTCTGCTCAAGCCAGATCTACTGTCACTCTCTGTTCCTGATGCCTTTGGATCTGAATGTACAACTCTCAGCTACTTCTCCAGCACCATTTCTGCCTGCATGCCACCATGCTTCCTGCCATGATGACAATGGACTAAACCTCTGAACTGTAAGCCAATTAAATGTTTTCCTTTGTAAGAGTTGCTATGGTCATAGTGTCTCTTTACAGCAATAGAAACCCTAAGACAGCTGGTAAAGATTATTTTTCCCATTTGTAGGATGACATTTCACTCAAATAATGGTGTTCTTTGCTGTACAAAAAATGTTTAGTTTCATGAGGTCCCATTTGTCAATTGCTGATTTTAATGCCTGTGCTAACAGGGTTCTGTTCAGAAAGCCCTTTCTTGCATAAATGAGTTCAAGCACATTGCCTACTTTCTCCTTTATAAGATTCATGATATCAGATGTTGAGGTCCTTGATCCATTTGGAGTTAAGTTTTATGCAAAGTGAGGTATAAGGATCTAGTTTTTATGCTTCCACTTGTATCTCTCCAGTTTTGCCAGCAACATTTGTTGAAAAAAAAATGTCTTTTCTCCAATGTGTATTTTGGGCATCTTTGTGGAAAATCAGTAGCCTTAGGAGTGTGGGCTTAATGTGGGTCCTAAATACCATGCCATTGGTCTGTGTATCTGTTTTTATGAGAATACCACATTGCTTTGTTACTATAACTTTATGTTATAACTTAAAACCAAGAATGGTTATACCTCCAGTGACATTTTGATTGTTCAGAATTGTTTTGGTAACCCTGGGTCATCTGTGTTCCCATTTGAATTTTAATTCCATTTTTTAATATCTATGGAAAAATTGTGTTGGAATTTTGGTGGAGATTGAATTGAATTTGCATATTTCTTCTGGTAGGGTGGCCATTTTCAGTGTTACTCCATGAACATGGCAATTCTTTTCATCTTCTGATATCTTCAATATCTTTCTTCAATGCCTTAAATGTTTTTATCATACAAGTCTTTCACTTCCTTGTTTATATTTATTTCAAGATTTTTAAGGCTATTGTAAATGTGATTGCTTTCCTGATTTCTTTCTCAAAATGTTTGTCATTGATATATAAGAGGGCTAGTGATTATTTTGTATTCTGCTACTTTGCTGAATGTTTATAAGCTTTAGATTTCTGGTGTGGACATTAGAGTCTTTTATTATATAATCACACAATCTACAAATACTCTGAGTTCTTCCTTTTCTGTTTCTTCCTTTATCTCCTTCTCTTGTTTTATTATGCAAGCTAAGCTTGCCTTGTCCCTGATTTTAGTGCAAATGCTTAAAGTTCAGCTAAATTGACAATTAGTATGATTTTGGCTGTAGATTTGTTGTATATTGTCTTTATTGTTATGTATAATATTTTATCTACTACACTTTCTCACTGCAAATGAAGGCTGACTCACAAATAATTCTTAATCTTTAGACAAATTTGAAATATCTTTCAGGTTTTATTTTCAAAAGTATGATGTTGTTCTTTATTACTCCACCAATTTTTTTTCTATAGACTATAGAAAAAACATGTTTTTAAACTTAATCAGTCTTCTTGTTATAGTCTGGATCTAGAGTGTCTCTTATAGTTTCGTTTGTTGAAGGGTGTGTTCCGACTGGTGGTACTATTTGAAAAGAAATTAAAAACCATTGCAAGTAGGACCAGGGTGGAGAAGTGCTAGTGGAACATGCCTTTGAAAGCTTTGTTTATTTTGTTCTTCATCTTATCCTATTTCTCTTTTCTTCTTCTCTTAGTCTTCCTCCTTTTCTTCTTCATTTCCCTCCTCCCTCTCCTCTCTTCTTTTCTTCCTCTTTCCCTCATCCTCTCTCCTTTCTATTCTCTCTCTTTCTCTCTCTCTTTCTCTCTCTCTCTTTCTCTCCCTCTCCCTCTCCCTCTCCCTCTCCCTCTCCCTCTCCCTCTCCCTCTCCCTCTCCCTCTCCCTCTCCATGCCTACCATCCTGGAACCATGAAGTGATCAGCTTTCCCCCAGCACACCTTTCTGCCATCATGTATTGTCTTCCACAAACCTTGAAATAATAGACCCAAGTGGCCATGGGCTGAAATTGATGATAACTCTACAATAAATCATCCATCTTTAATTTTCCCAGGCATTATGTCACAGCAGTGGGAGGAAGGTTCATCGCACCCTATTGGAAACTTCACAGGTATCTGCTATCATAGAAATATCTTTGAAGATTTATTTCACTGTTATGATTTCCTTTAATTTTGTTTTTGGATTATATATGTATCAATTGAGTATGGCAATGTTAATTTTAATACAAATTATCTACTATATTATTATTTGCTGAAAAATGTTTGCTATATTCAGAGTGATCTTGGATCATCATAAACATTAGTGATATTTTTCTTGTCTTGCTTCTTGATCAGATTCCATTCTTGGAGTTCCTTAAAACTGTGTCACTTTGATGAAAGTATCTTTTTGCTTTACTTGTCTGAAGATTCTCCCTCTGTAACACATACAGCAAACATCAAAAATATATAACAGTGAAACTGAGAGGACACAGAGAAAAATGGCATCCCCGGTACTCTTTAGAGCAAACTCATCCTTCACCCAACAGCTTTGAAAACATCCATTATTCTTGCCAAATGACTTGAGTACATCTTGTGACATAAAAGGCCAACTACCCTGGTAACTTCTCTGTGTGATAGCTAATCTTGGTTGTCAACTTGACATGCCTGAGAAGAGAAAACTTTGGTTGAGGAATTGATTCATCAGATTAAGCCTGTGGCATGTCTTTGGAGCATTTTCTTGATTGCTGATTAATATAAGAGGGCCTAGCCTACTGTAGGTGGTACTGTCCTTAGGCAGATAGCCTAAGCTCTATATGAAAGGTAGCTGAGCAAGCCAGAGGAAGCAAACTAGTAAGTAACATTCCTTGATTACTTTCTTCTTCAAGTTCTTGTCTTGGCTTCCTTCAGTGATGAACTCTAATCTACAATCTAAAAACTAAAAATAAACCCTTTTCTCCTTAAGATGCATTTGGTCAGTGTTTTATCACAGCAACAGAAGAACACTTTCTTCCTTGGTTATCATGGTATTCTCCAAGGAGGTTTAGGTGGGGGAAGGCAATGGAAATGCACCAAGTTTTGAAATCTTGCCCATTTCTTCACATTCTATGACCCCTTTGTTGACCATTCCCTTCTTCTCTGTCATGAACTCTTTCATTCCTAGTGAAAAAGATAATCTGAATCTCATAGCAAAAACAAGAGTCCTTCTCTCAGACATGTGTCATCTGTGGCAGGTCTTTAGACCTATATCTAATTTCCTTTAAGTTATTCAGTGACCATTGCACACTCAAGCATATAGGTACTGTCAGTTTCAGACAGCTTACTAGCACTTACTAGGTTTGAGGGATGAACTAACATTTGTATTTGAACGTGCTTGTGAAATATCATCAAGGATATGTGTTTCACACAAGGTCAGAGAGGACAAAAGACACATACTCTTGTCCTATTTATCTCTAAATCTCACAATACAGTCTAGGTAGAGCTGGCCTTTGTTATATAGAGACTTTCCAGTCACATCTGAAACCATTGTATGAAAGGATATGCAAATTGTTCTATACCAAACACAAATTCCATGAGTAAACAACAAAAAAAAGAACCTACCTAGTTATCAGGCCACCTGGCACAGAGTACTTTGGGAGACAAGGCTTTTTCACCTTCCTCATAACAGACCATTAGCACAGAAGTCCCATAAGGAGCAGGGGTTTACTCACTCATTTTCCACATCTTGTATGGAGTCAGGCAGAGGCTGATTCTTGGTCTCAGGAAGAAGAAGGACAACAAGACTACCAAGGATGGGGAGGACCCCATAGATGATCCAGGGTAAGGAGTCAAAGTATGTCTTGAGGATCATAAACAAAGGAGACAAGGATGCCCCAATACTTCCAGAAATTCCAATGATTCCTAAAGCAGTTGCCCTTGAGCACAAAATAGAATGCAGAAATAACTGCGTGAGGATGCACATTTGAAATTTGTGACTTAGAATTCTGCATTACTTATGAAAATCAGCAGTATATTTAGGCATAAGAATGTTGATAATTTTTGCTCTTGTTTTTCCCATTTCTGTTTCATTTGATCACAATATTGAAACACTCACTTATCACTTACAAACTCATACCCAGAGGAATAAATACTACATGTTTTCTCCACTGTGGTGATCCTAGATTTTAGCTTCTATGGATATGTATACATGGGGTGGAAGTGTGGGTAAAGCTAGGAAACTTGAATGGAGACAATGAGGGAAAAAGAAAAGATCTTAAGTGAGAAAGATGTTAATGGTGCACATGTGACATGGAAGGAGGAGAGTGGCAATTAGAGGGACGGAGGTAACTAGCAGAAGGGGATTTGAGGGATCAAAGTAACAGAGCAACCAAAACAGAATAGATGTGAAAATGTATAATAAGCCTATTATTCTTCATGCTAACTTTTTTAAACTAATTTTTAAAAAGTAAAAAAAAAAATTAAAGTAGATTATTTCTCATGATTTTTGCTTTTTTTGGGTTCCAAGTGTTATCTTAGATTTAATTAGTGGTACATTAATAGCCTTAACAGCAACTAACAAAAAGGTGACTTTGAGGAAACTTTGGACATACTTTGTTGTTATTATCACAATCAATTGTTTTAGATAACTATCCAGTCAATGAGAGTGAATAAGCTAAGCCAACAAGATGGCTCAGCAAATAAAAGTGTCATCAAACCTGATGACTCAACTTCAATCCCTGAGACCAGAAAAGAATCAACTCCTGAAAGTTATCTTCTGACCTCTATGGACACATGGTAGCAAGCACATACCTGCATAAACACCTATCATACACACACATGCACACACACTAAAAATAATTAATTAATTAATTAATTAATTAATTAATTAAAAGTAAATATCAAAAATATTTAAGAGTAGAAAAGTTTGTTCTGACCCTGACAATGAACTGTGAGTCTTGTACCTGATTGTGGTGGGGAGTAGCTCATTTGCATGCACAAGAGTATTACCAACAGAGACAAAAGAAAATGCTCCTCCCAAAGTTGCCAAAACCATACGCAGGATCTGCATTTCTAGAGAGAAGAAGACCAAGAACCGTCATGAAATCTGAGCTGTGGAAATTTGTACTCTTCAAATCCCAAACGGAAAACATTCTTACTGAGGATGAGTAAAAGTGTAAAATATAGTGTAGAGAAAATGTATAGAGGCAGAATTCCCTCACTTGGCTAATAAATTGAAGAAGGTAACCTATCTACATATATTGGTTTATGGAGAAGCAAAGCTTCCAAAATTTGGATTCATGTGCCTTAAATATCTTGATATTTGCTTAAAAAGTAGAAAGCTGGGTGAGTTCAGAAGGAGTTCACTTTCATCTTCTCTATCCAGTGTTTCAGCGATTTCTCATGCAGAGTGTAGGAATATTATGGAGAAATAACTAAGGACTATACGCTCATTCAGATTCTCAGGAAATTTAAATCCACAATTAATGTGAAATACTGCAGAATTGTGTCATGAGAAGACAGAAGTCCTATTGTGGTGTGTAAGATGGAGATTGGTTTGGTTTGAAATAATGTTTCAAGACTCAAGAATAAGGACTGCTGCTAGGAAAAATGTCAGATTTTGAAAACCACTCAAGAAAAGTTTTATAAAGTCATTTTCTACTCAATTCAATGTAATGTAATATTCAAACTTTGTATTGAGCCTTCAGGTGAGCCAAAAAACACTTACAGTATTGCTGAATTCAAGAGTTATGACCCTCCAGGCAGTGGGACCGGGTCCTGTGCTCATTGTATGAGTTGGCTGTTTGAAACCTGGGGCTTATACAGGGTCGATTGACTTGGCCTGGGAGAGGACCTGCCTGGACTGAGTCTACCAGGTTGATCTCAGTCCTCAGGGGAGGCTTTGCCCTGGAGGATGTGGGAATAGGGGGTAGGCTGGGGGGAAGGGGAGGGGACGGGAAGGGGGAGAACAAAGGAATCCATGGCTGATATGTAGAACTGAATTGTTTTAGAAAATAAAATTTAAAAAAAAGAGTTATGACCACCTGTGTACCACCTATTTATTACTTAAGTCCATTTAATTCAGTGGAGTCAGTTCTAACAGTCTTAATGCTTAATCCATTCATACTTTCATGTATTTCAATACAAGTCATGTTTATTTTCTTGATATAGCTTTCCAAATGAGGGTTGTATTTGTGATCTCATATTATGAAGTTCATAAATTCTAACTCTACACAGAGTTCAGAAAATTAATTGTTACTGAAGCTGAAGTAATGAGACAGAGCTACACAGAGGAAGAAACAGTATGCTGTGGTCATTTTAAATCAGATTATAAGGTCCTGTATGGACTAACAGAACTTGGAAATGATTGGTCGGTTTTCATGTGCATCTTGAATATAATAAACATTTATCTACTAGAACCAAATGTGACTAACTATTGTGCCCTAAATGCCCAGATTGGTCACAAGAAATTCTTTTTCTGTTTGTTTGTTTGTTTGTTTGTTTGTTTGTTGAGACAGGATTTTTCTGTGTAGCTTTAGAGTCTTTCCTGGGAGAAATTCTTGGAATGTATTTTGTTCTGATTTCATAGGTGGGTCTAAAAGTCCTGAGGAAAGGGAAAAAGATAATCTCTTTGCTCACCCTGTGTTCTTTCCTCACCTTCAGGCACAAATATTATGGCCAAAATGGAAATTCCAAGCAGGGATATGGTAAACAATTGACTCATTCTACGGCCCATGTGATTCAGTAAAAAAATTCCAAGTAAATTGGCTGGAATGGTGATTACACCAAGAAGACACTGCAGTAGGAAGACATTAGTCCTCAGGTGCTGGAAGTTGATCAGCAGGCCAAACACAGATATCCATGTCAGAAATCTATAAAGAACAAAGAAAGTTGCATCATGAGTTTGGATTTGATGTCAAAGCAGTCAGTTTTAGTTGTTAAAACATAAAGTTACAGCTGGGTTAGGTCCCCAGTGTGGCAGTGCTGATGGTATGACTCAACTTCTACCTGAGCTGGGTTTGCTAGAAAACAGAAACCTAAAGCATTTCTCAGAAGCCCTGAAAGTCTGACTGAATGCTCCTGACTGCAACTGTCAGCATCTCATCTGTCTGACAGAGTTCCTATTTTAACCACCTGGCTGTCCCATCTTCTGAGCAGTACCCCCTGCCATCTACCAAAAAAAAACAAAAAAAAAAAAAAACCAAGCTTCTGCAACTACTGATGTCCTCTGCTGTCTGAAGGAGTTTGACGCTTTTTTTAAGTTAAATAGTTCTTTCTAGCTACTAAAAATGGCTGTGTTTGGTTGTTTCTTGTTGTGCGTGCTTATATTTGGTGCCAAAACCCAGGAGAGATACCTGTGTCCACCTTTGGGGAACCAGTCCCTCCTTTAACCAAACCAAGAACTACCAGCTGGGCGCTTCCATGATAGAGCTCATTTGCCTCCGTCATGTATTATATTTAACTCCAGATTCTCTCTCACCATTTCTCCTGAAGGCCTACCCATCTCTTCTCACAGACTAGAGCAAGTGCCCTTCTCTCAGACAGTTTCAGAATTTTCTCTCACACTCACTGAAGCCTGCTACAAAAGTCTTGCTGTACATCAGGCAGTCTCTCACACTCTCCTCAGTGCATTTCACTTGGTTGGGGACAACCATCTCTTGAAATCTGCGAATTCACTTGACAAACTTCAGTTCACTTAGGGACAACCTCGGGACTGAGTTTCCATCCAGAGGCACTCACCCCACCCCACCCTACTGGCTCACTGTTCCCTTCCTCTGCATCCTTATGTTCTGCACCCCTCTCCTTGCGCTTAATATGCCATTGGTCTCCTCCTCCTAACAGATCTTCTAGTTATAGTTCCCAATATCTGGACTTGGAAGGAAAGACTTTTCCTAATCATTTTCTATCTACTTTTGCCCTGATAGTGGGATTCCTTTTCTGCCACCCCATCCTCAGCTTTCCATCATCTCATCAACCATAGGATCCTCCCACCCTAGGCCAGATGTTGCCACTCCTCCTGCCTGCCTTCTCAAATCTCCTTTCTTCTTCCCTCTTCAGACTCAGCAATTTAATTAGGCCTTATGTTTGCTGCAAACTAGAAAATCTGTGAGATTTTATAAAAGTACATTTTACTAAAAAAAAAAAAAAGCCGGGCGGTGGTGGCGCACGCCTTTAATCCCAGCACTCGGGAGGCAGAGGCAGGCGGATCTCTGTGAGTTCGAGGCCAGCCTGGGCTACCAAGTGGGTCCCAGGAAAGGCGCAAAGCTACACAGAGAAACCCTGTCTCGAAAAACCAAAAAAAAAAAAATGTGCCTTGTTTAAAAAAAAAACCATTTTCCTGATATTTGTATAGTGTACTTTTATAAAATATCACAGTTTCTTGTATGACTCAATTTATCCAAATGAACTGGGTGGTGGTGGTGCACACCTTTAATCCCAGCACTCAGAAGGCAGACAGGCAGATCTCTGTGAGTTCAAAGCCAGCCTGGTCTACAGAGTGAGTTCCAGGACAGCTAGGGCCACATGGTGAAATCCTGCCTTGAAGACAAAACAAAACTATTTATCCAAATAGCTAAAGCCTAACACACTAATACATGAGTAGCTAGACATGTATCTTTAAGTTAGAAGTAGTTAGACACATATCTTTAAGTCAGTTTGTGTTAGCCTGAGTAGACCTCAGAAATTTATAAACCTTATCATTAAACTATATTGTTCCTTATCTAAAATCTCTTGGAGGCCTGGTATTGAACATAGTTGCCAAAGACTTAAGTTCAAACTTAACAGGGATAAAATTATAAAATCTTAATCTTGCAGGGAGAAGGGGCCAGGCCCTGCCTCAACTTGGTATGCCAGATTTTGTTGACTACTCAAGGGAGGCCTTACCCACTCTGAGGAGTGAATGGAGAGTGGGATGGGGGGATGGGGAGTGAGAGAAGGGGAAAGAGGGGTAACTGGGGATGGTATGTAAAACAAAACAAATGTCAGGAGCCATTACCATGAGCTATTGCAGCCTGCAGGATTATGCAGTGAGAAATTCAGCTATCCTAAAAAGGCCAACACACCAGAGTCAAGGATTCTGATGCAGGATTAAACCAAAATGCAGGTATTTTGGAATTATTTCCTTTTGAATGAATTGGTTGTTCCTTGTTGCAGATTTCTTGTGCAATTACAACTATGATATCTCCCCATTACCATCCATCTTTATGTAATGTGTTTATCTAATCTCACAATTACATCTCAATTTTATGAGCACATATATCTGTGGGTGATCAGGAAGATGATGTTTATTTTAACTGTACAATTTTGATATATAGAAAATACACTAGGATATGCTTCATAGCCAGATCCATTGATCCATGAGACTGTAGACACTTAAAGTCTGCTTTGTTCCTTATGCTCAGACTAACACAGAAAATAATAATCTCTCCTCAGTCTAACACAAACTGCACACACTTAGCTCATTTTTACTTCAGAGTAAAGTTCAAACTAGACTAAAGGCCTTTGTAAATAGACCATAAGTTTAAAACTTTACAGATATGCATGGGGTCAGAGTCACAGGTGTCTTACCAAGGTTACTAACACAAAACATCCTAAGAAAAGCCTGCCAATTCTTTGTGGTAATATTTCATTTGTGCTGAAATGTGGTGATATTTTATTTGTGCTTTAATAAATAAAGCTTGCCTGAAGATCAGAGGAAAAAGCTAGCCACAACACAGAAGTCATGCAATGTTAGCACACACCTTTAATCCTATCACTTAGCAGGCAGGATCTCTGTATGTTCAAGGCCACACTGGAAACAGAGCCAGGTGTGGTGGCACAAGCCTTAAATTCTAACACTAGTTAACCATAGAGGTCTGGAGGTCTGTACAGACAGACAGGAAGTGACAGAGCTGGGCAGGAGGAGGAAGTGATGTAGCTGAACAGAGAGAGCAAATCAGATGGCAAAACAGCAAGGCACATAGGCATGGGTAGACAGGAAGTAACTCCCATTTGGAAGCTGCAGAGTTGATGAGGTAAGGTTAGCTGTGACTTTCCCTATTTCCCTGATCTCTCTAAGGCTTTCACCCCTATATCTAGCTCTGTGTTTTTTATTTAATAAGACCATTTAGAAATTCATCTACAATTCTTTGCTTGCCAAGTCTGCTGAAAAAAAAAAACTGTCTCAGAGTTTGTTGCACTAGGCACTGTGCCCCCTCCTTCTGGTCCTGAGACCTTGGATCCTTGTGTTTTCATGGTAATGGCTCTGCTCCTTACCATGTGCTAGGGCATTGAGAGTTTTGATATTTTTCTCAGGATTGCAAGAAGTATCCTGTTAGAAATGCATGGGTAGGAGGCACAACCAGTTGAAGACAGGCCCAACTACCACCATCCCCCATCAGACCCTGTAACCTACAAGCCCCAATCCATGCCCCAAACCCACCTCTGAGACCACAGCTGCTCCCTAAGACACAGACTCTGCCAGCTCTAATTTGACCAAGAGTTGAGTCTTTGTTTTCCTAGCCACCACCCCAGCCTCTAGTCTTTAGGTCCAAGGACACAACCAGTTACAGGCCAGCACTCTTATAGGCAGGCCCAATTCCCACCATCCCCCACTGGACCCTGTAACCTACAAGCCCCAATCCACACCCCCAAAACACCAATCCTCCCTACAGCTGATAAACCCCTTCAGTAATGTGGCAAGATACAAGACTAACTCAAAAAAATCAGTAGCTTTCCTATATACAATGATAAATGGGCTGAGAAAGAAATCAGAGAAACATCATCCTTCGCAATAGCCACAAATAATATAAAATACCTTGGGGGTAACTCTAACTAAGCAAGTGAAAGACATGTATGACAAGAATTTTAAGTCCTTGAAGAAAGAAATTGAAGATGATATCAGAAAATGGTAAGATCTCTCATGCTCACAGATAGGTAGAACCGACATGATAAAATTGGCAATCTTACCAAAAGCAATCTACAGATTCAGTGCAATCCCCATCAAAATCCCAACACAATTATTCACAGACCTTGAAAGAACAATACTCAACTTCATATGGAAAAACAGAAAACCCAGAATATCTAAAACAATCCTTTACAATAAAGCAACTTCTGGAGGCATCACCATCCCTGACTTCAAGCTCTACTATAGAGCTATAGTAATATAAACAGCTTGGTATTGGCATAAAGACAGACATGTGGACCAATGAAATCAAATTGAAGATCCTGACATTAATCCGCACACCTATGAACACCTGTTTTTTTTCTTTTTAAAATTTTTTTCATTTTTCTTTATTAAGAAATTTTCTACTCACTCTACATACTACCCACAGATCCCCCCTCCTCCCTCCACCTACCCCCCCCCCGCCCTTTTTCCCAAGCCACTGCACATCCCCACATCCCCCTAATCAAGGTTTCCCATGGGGAGTCAGCAGAGCCTGGCACACTGAGCCTAGGCAGGTCTAAGCCCCTCCCCACTGCACCAAGGCTGCACAAGGTGTCACACCACAGGCACTGGGCTCCCAAAAGCCTGCCCATGCACCAGGGATAGATCCTGATCCCCCTGCCTGGGTGCCCCTCAAACAGCCAAACAATCATCTTCCATATCCAGAAGGCCCAGTCCAGTCCCATGGGGGTCCCATAGCCACTAGTCTATAGTTCATGGGCTTCCACTAGTGTGGCCTGTCATCTCTGCATGTCTTCCCATCATGATCTTAATGTCCCCTGCCTGCAGAATCCCTCCTCTCTCTCATCAATTGGATTCTCGGAGCTCAGCCTGGTGCCTGGCGCCTGGCTGTGGATCTCTGCATTGCCTCCATCGGTCACTGGACAAAGGCTCTATGATGACCTTTGTTAGAGTATTCACTAGACTGGTCATCAGAGAAAACCAGTCCAGGCACCCTCTAGACTACTGCCAGCACTCCAAGGTGGGGTTATCCTTGTGGATTCCTGAGAGCCTCCCCAGCACCCTGCCTCTTCCAATTCCCATGATGTCCCATCTATCATGGTATCTCCCTCCCTGCCCTCCCACTATGTCCTTGTTCCACCTCAACCTTCCCATTTCCCTATGTTCTCATGCCCCACTCCTTGCCCTCCGCCACCCCTTCCCACTCCCAGTCTGCTCATGCAAATCTCATCTACTTCTCCTTCGCTGGGCCATCCATGTGTCTCTCCTAGAGTCTGTCCCTATTAGCTAGCCTCTCTGGAGCTGTGGGTTGCAGTCTGGCCATCCCTTCCCTCACATCTAGTATCCACTTATGAGTGAGTACATACTATGTTTGTCCTTCTGAGTCTGTGTTACCTCACTCAGGATGATATTTTCTAGTTCCATCCATTTGCCTGCAAATTTCATGATATCATTGTTTTTTGCTGCTGAGTAGTACTCCATTGTGTATACGTGCCACATTTTCTTTATTCATTCTTCAGTTGAGGGACATCTAGGTTGTTTCCAGGTTCTTGCTATTATAAATAATGCTGATATGAACATAGTTGAGCATGTGTCCTTGTGGTAAGATTGAGCATTCCTTGGGTATATGCCCAAGAGTGGTATAGCTGGGTCTTGAGGAAGACTTATTCTCAATTTTCTGAGAAGCCACCATACTGATTTCCAGAGTGGCTGTACAAGTTTGAATTCCCACCAACAGTGGAGGAGTGTTCCCCTTGCTCTACATCCTCTCCAACATAAGCTGTCTTCAGTGTTTTTGATCTTACCGATTCTGACAGGTGTAAGATGGTATCTCAGAGTGAACACTGATTTTTGACAAAGAAGCCAAAAATGTACCATGGAAAAAAAGAAAGCATCTTCAACAAATGGTGCTGACATAACTGGATGTCAACATGTAGAAGATTGCAAATAGATCCATATCTGTCACCATGCATAAAACTCAAGTCCCAAAGACCTCAACTTAAATCCAGCTACACTGAGCAAGATAAAGGGGAAAGTAGGCAGTAGCTTAGAAAGCATTGGCATAGGAGACCACTTCCTAAATATATCACCAGTAACACAGATATGAGAGCAACAATTACTAAATGGGACCTCCTGAAACTGAGAAACTTTTGTATAGCAAAGGACACGATCATAACACAAAATGGCAGCAGGTCTTCACCAACCCCATATATGATAGAGGGCTGATCTTCAAAATATATAAAGAACTCAAGAAACTAGACAGCAAAATACCAAACAATCCGATTAAAAACTGGGCTACAGAGCTAAACAGAGAATTCTCAACAGCAGAATCTCAAATGACTGAAAGACATGGCTCAACATCCTTAGTCATCAAGGAAATGCAAATCAAAATGACTCTGAGATAATATCTTACACCTCTCAGAAAGACTATGATCAAAAACACTGAAGACATCTTAAGCTGGAGAGGATATGGGGCAAAGGGAACACTCCTCCACTGTTGGTGGGAATGCAAACTTGTACAGCCACTTTGGAAATCAGTATGGCAGTTTCTCAGAAAATTGGGAATCAATCTACCTCTGAGCCTAGCTACACCATTCTTGGGCATATACCAAAGGAATGCTCAATCATACTACAAGGACATATGCTTCATACAAGGACTATGTTCATAGCAGCATTATTCATAATAGCCAGAACCTGGAAGCAACCTAGATGCCCCTCAACCAAAGAATGGATAAAGAAAATGTGGCACATATACACAATGGAGTACTATGCAGCAGTCAAAAAAAACAATGTGCCCGACAGTGGTGGCGCATGCCTTTAATCCCAGCACTTGGGAGGCAGAGCCAGGCGGATCTCTGTGAGTTTGAAGCCAGCCTGGTCTACAGAGCTACGTAAAGAAACCCTGTCTTGAAAAACCAAAAAAAAAAAAAAAAATGACATCATGAAGTATGCAGGCAAATGGATGGAACTTGAAAACATCATCCTGAGTAAGGTAACCCAGACTCAGAAGGACAAACATAGTATGTACTCACTCATAAGTGGATACCAAGTGTAAAGCAAAGGATAACCAGACTACAACCCACATCTCCTGTAATCAGATTGGTAGCTACCCCCAATTGTTATTAGAGAGCCATTGTCCCATAACTGATGGAAACAGATGCAGAGATCCACAGCCAAGCACTGGGCAGAGCCTGGAGAATCCTGTTGAGGAGAGGAAGGAAGGATTGTATGAGACATGGGGTCAGGGTCATCACAAGGGAACCCACAGAAGCAACTGGTCTGCTCTTGGAAGATCACTGACTATGGACCAATGGCTAGAATGCCTGCACGGGACCAGCCTAGGCCCTCTGCCTGTGTGTGACAGTTGTATGGCTTGGTCTACTTGTGGGACTCCTAGCAGTGGGAGCAGGGCCAGTTCCTAACGCTTGGGCTGGCTTTTGGGAACCTGTTCCTAATGCTGGGTTGCCTTGCCCAGCCTTCATATAAGGAGAGGAGCTTAGTCCTACCTCAACTTGGTATACCATGCTTTGTTGGCAAGTATGAGAGACCTGCCCCTTTCTGAACAGAGGTGGAAGAGGGATGGATTGGGGAGAGACAGAGGGGAAGTGGGAGGAGGGAATGCTGTGGTCAGGATGTAAAATAAATGAAAAAATTTAATTAATTTTTAAAAAGTACTTCTTACGCTGGAGACATCTCTGTCCAACCTATATCTGCCCAACCCTCTTCATGTGGTGATGTGAAGACAACAAGCCAGAGGAAAGAATGTCCATGTTTCTGTCCCAGAACCATCTTCCAGGCCCTCAAGCTTTCCCTTGCCTTTGCTCTCTTTCCTGCCAGGAAGTTTCTGTCTTGTTACAGATGAATGTTCATGTTTATGTTGATAACTTTTCAGGCTTTATTTTTGCTATGACTCAAAGGAATGCACCTGCTTGAGCTTTTTGCAAGACACTTATTAACTGCTTTCCCTACAATGAGGATTCCAATGCAGATTGAAACAGGCAGTGGTACTAATGACCTGTCCTATTAACTTTAAAACATCCATGTACGCTTCAGGGAGTCGTGACTTGGCTCCATCGGCCACTGCTCAAATCTGCACCAGATCCCTTGTCTGACAAGAACTACTGTCAGTGAAAAGCTTAAGCTCTCCCACCTACCACCTGTCACTGGGGGTGGGGCCTTTGCTTCCCCTGGTCTTGAGGCTCCTTTCTACCCCCCAAACCACCTGGTCCCCCTGGCTAACCACCTGGGCAGCCTCTCCCTGCCATCAACCCATAGAAAACCAACAAGCTTTGGTAACTGCTGCTGTCCTCCACTGTTCAAGGCAGCTGGACAGGAATTTTTTTTTATTAAACTGTTATTTCTCTCCACAGAGAATGGCTGTATTTGTTAGTTTTTCTGTGCCTGCTTATAATTTGTTCTCTGGAATATTTATTGTAAATTATAATTTTATACTCATAATAAAATCATTGTATGATGATGGAATATAACATTGCTACTGAATTATTGAAGATGTAGTAGAGTTTGTGGGATGCACGATAAGTCCTTCCAGAGTTTTAGAATTTTAACTGTATCTTGAGCTGGTTGGAGGTTATCTAACTGTGTGTGTTCATTGAGAAGTTTACATTTATGCACCTTAATTTTGAGATTTTTTTTTATCTCTTTTGAAATTGAAATAGACAAATAGACATACTCAGGGACCAAGTTTGTACCATGACTGAGGTTCTCAGCATCAATCTCCGGTGCAAAATCCAGTAGGTGGTTGGATGAACACACCCATCACTGTACAATTAGTCTGTGCTCATATATTTAAAACCCTTTGACTACCTTCAGCTACAGAAATTCCTCATCAACTATTTTAATAGGCACTACATGAAGCCTACCTCACAAGAGACAGGAGGCACATCCGCTTGCGCAGGTTGGGTGTACGGAACAAGTCCCACAGGGAAGATTTTGTTTGTGAGGCCTCCAGCTCATCCTTCATGGTGGTTCTTACAACCTTCAACAACAGCGTTAACAAACTGTTTAGTGGTCACAAAATGATGGGCATTGTGGCACCTGCAGAGAACTGTAGCAATAGTAATTGTTTCTGTCTAGTAAGAAATATAAACATCAAAGAAGCCATGTCAGCTATAAAACTGGTGAGAAATGTGAACCCAAACAGCTAAAAAAAATTTAAGTGATTTCTGCAGTAAGGATATGTTAAGTAAGGAAGTATAGATAGATTCAGAACACTGAAGGTAGGGTGTATGTTAGAGATGCAGATTAGGAAGAAAAAAACAAGTGAAGACTCATTTAGATTATGATCTATGTGGTTTGACAAAGAAATGTGCCCCATAGGCTCAGGTATTTGAACACTTGGTAGCCAGTTGATGGCACTGTTTAGAAGGTGGAAAGGCTTTGAGAATTCACAGCCTCACCCTACTTCCAGTTTGCACACTCTGATTTTGGCTTGCAGTTAAAGATACACAGTCTCTCAGCTTCCTGCTCCAGCTCCCTGCTACCATGCTCCTCCACCATTATGCATTCTCCTCTGGATCTGTAAGCTCAGGTAAACTTCTGTAAGTTTTTTTCGTCATGGTATTTTTATCACAGCAACAGAAAAGTAATCAGTACAGAACATATCAGAAAGTAGGTTGCTGCTGTAAAGAATCTGACCATGTTGTTTTTTGGAGGAATATTGAAGACTTTAGAGCTTTGGACTAAAAAAGCTACTACTGCTATAAACAGAGATTAGCAGGCGATTCTAACAGGAGTCTGGAAGATAGCATCGCTGAGAGCGGTGCTGGTAGAGGCAACCCAATTGTTGAGGTTCAAAGAGTAATATTAGCAGCTGGGCTACAGACCTCGGATATGATACTTTGACAAAGAATATGGCTGGGTTTTTTTTTTGGCCCGGATCCTGAGAATTTACATGAGATTAAATCAGTGGTTCTTGACCAATGGGTCATGATCCCTTTGGAGTTCAAATGACCTTTTCACAGGGATCACCTAAGACCATCAGAAAAAAAAAACAAAAAACAGATAGTTACATTACAGTTCATAACAGTAGCAAAATTACAGTTATAAAGTATCAACAAAAACAATTTTATGGTTGTTGGAGGTCACCACACATGAGGAACTGTATTAGAGGGCTGCAGGACTAGGAAGGTTGAGAACCACTGAAGTAAATTAACAGGCAATAAACTAATTTCTCTAACAAAGAACATTTCAAACCAGAGGAACGTTGAGTCTGTGGTGTGGTTATATTACTGAAAGCTCTTCTGCAGGTCTACAGTGAAAAAAAGCAAGTGGAGCAAAAGAAATGCAAAATGTAAAGTTTGCAGAGGAAAAAATAAAAGATCACTAGGATGTTGTGCAACCAAAGCATGTGTTTAAAGAAAGGTTGTAATTGTTAAGGAGATCGGAACCATTAAGGAAAGTCTTCTTGCCCTTCTTTGGAACAATGGGAAATTTGCTAAAGGGCAAGACCCCACCATTTAAGCTTCCAGCTTGTAAAAGGTTAAAGCCTAAGAGAGGAAGCACTTGCTTCAACTTTAAAAAGCTGATGTAGTCAAAGTGGGCCAGGGTCCATCCCAAGCTAGCACAGCCCAATTTGCCAGGATTGTACATGTAGTACTGGCTTTGAAGGCACTAAAGATGCAAAAGTGTGGTGATATTTTATCTGTGTGCCCCAATAAAGTTTATCTGAGGATCAGAGGAAAAAGCCAGCCACTATATTAAACATAGAAGTCAGGCAATGGTAACACACACCTTTAATCCTATCACTCAGGAGGCAGGGATCCATCTGGCTCTCTGTGAGTTCAAGGCGACACTGGGAACAGAGCCAGGTGTGGTGGCACATGCCTTAAATTCCAACACCAGTTAACCATAAAGGTCTGGAGGTCTGTACAGACAGACAGGAAGTGGCAGAGCTGAGCTGAAAGAGGAAGTGATGTAGCTGGGTGGAGAGGAAATGAGTTGGCAGAACAGAAAGGTATATAGGAGTGGGTATACAGGAAGTAGGTTTCTTTGGAAGCTGCGAAGTTGGTGAGGTGAGGTTAGCTGTGGCTCTTCCTATTCCTCTGATCTCTCAGGTTTTTAACCCCGATATCTGGCTCCAGGTTTTTTATTTAATAAGACCATTTAAGATTCAAGTTACGCCGGGCGGTGGTGGCGCACGCCTTTAATCCCAGCACTCGGGAGGCAGAGGCAGGTGGATCTCTGTGAGTTCGAGGCCAGCCTGGGCTACAGAGTGAGTTCCAATACAGGCTCCAAAGCTACACAGAGAAACCTTGTCTCAAAAAAACAAAAAAAAAGATTCAAGTTACATTCAAGTCAGATTCTTCCTCTGTGGTTTCAAAAAGCCACTGGGACCATCCAAACGTGTACCAGTGCTGGAATCATGGCAATAAGTTCCTTAGAGTCTAGGACTCCTTCAGAGTCCTTTGCATAAAACTGTGAAAGGGAAGCCTGGGTTTCAGTGGAAACCCCAAGATACAGGAAGCACCAGGGCCATAAGACATCTGCCAAGGAGAGTTGAATCCAGAGAGTTGAACAAGCCTAAAAGAGATGTATGTTGCAGGTGACAAGTCTGAAATCATCGAGCCAATCTAAGCCCTTTGAAATTAAATGTCTAGACACTGGACATGGAACTACAGGATTTGGTGTTTGCCCTGCTATATTTTGGTCTTGCTTTAGTCCAGTGTTTCTTCGCTATGCTCCCATTTCTCCCATTTGGAATGAGGATGTACATTCTATGCCATTGTATGCTAGAACTCTGTAACTTGTTTTGTTTTGTTTTAAATGGGGTTGCAGTTAAGAGATTTTCTTGAGTCTCAGAAGAGACTTTGTCCTTTAGACTTTTGAACAGTTCTCAAGACTGTGAATGGCTTGTGTTCAAGTTTTAGGCTAAATGCATTTTACATTATGATATGGCCATGAACCCATGGAGTCCACAGAGTAGAATGTGGTGATTTCAATGAAAAATGTCCACCATAGGCTCATATAACTGAACACTTGTTCTCCAGTTGATGATGCTATTTGAAGATGATATAGAACCTTTAGGAGGTGGATTCTTGCTGAAGGAAGTACATCCCTGAGGGTAGGCTTTAGAAGTTTATAGCCTCACCCCACTTCCAATTCACTCTCTCTGTTTCCTGCTGCTATGCTTGTTTGTTTGCTGCCATGCCTCCCTCATCATTATGGACTCTCCCACTGGAATCATAAACCAAGTAAACTCTTGATCACAGCAACAGAAAGTAACTAATATGCTGTTGTGTGATATTTTGATTTCATTCTGACAATGAAGTTTGCTTTGAGTCAGAGGTCAGAACTAGCCACTAGCTGACCAAAATTAACCATAGAAGTTTTGGAGGACTGAGGACAGATAGGAGACAAAGTAGTAAGGCAGGACTGAGAGAGGATCTCAGGTTTTTTGGATGGACGAACAAAAAAGATTGGTCACTGTGGCTTCTCCGCCACTTCTCTGATCATTCAGGTTCTTACCTCAATACCAGACTCCCGATTTTTTTATTGATAAAGAATAATTAGATAAACACTTCAATAAACTTTACTAGCTTCCTTCTTTTTATCTTGTCCAGAACACAAGCCCAGAGGATGGTGATGCCCTTTTTAAGGTAGTCTTCCTAGTTCATCCTGATCAAGATGATCCTTTACAGTCATGCTCAGAAACCAAACTAATATAAATAACTCTCACAGGTATCCTGAAAACTTATATCCTAGGTGATTCTAGATCTTGTCAAGTTGACCATACCATTGCTTATGGTTTTGTACCAGAACTACCAGTAAGAATATATTACTAAATATATCACATGCCTTTCTATCAGGATATAGAGAAATCAAGCTGACATTAAGCTTGAAAGTTTCTCCCTGCTGGCTAGCATTCAAAGGACTAGAAAGTACTCTTCAGGCTTCTGCAAAAGAATTTTCATCAACAATTTATTCAGCTGTAAATACTTGTGCCACACTATAACATACCAGGGAAGGTATGTCTGCTTGGGCAATGCTGGCATCACTGCCGTGAAATTAAAAAGCCACTTTCTGATTGAAGTTGAGGCCTGTACCACAGGAGAAAACTCATATCTGGTGCATTGAACCTAGGTAAAAACCCATAGCTGTACACATTATAGACCTTAGTGGGAGAGTATGGTAGTCTGAATGAGAATGGCCCCCATAAGCATGTCTATTTGAATGCTTGGTCCCCACTTGGTGGAACTGTTTGGAAAGAATTAGGAGGTGTGGTCTTGTTAGATGAGATGTGTCACTGAGGGTGGGCTTTGAGGTTTCAAAAGCTATGTCACTCCCAGTTAGATAGCTTGCTCTCTTCCTACCCACCCCCCTCTCTCCCTTCTCCAGTACCATGCCTTTCTGCCTGCTGCCATGCTCCCCACCATAGACTCTAACCCTCTGGAACTGTATTCCCCCAAATTGAATGCTTTCTTTTATAAGTTGCCTTGGTCACGGTGTTTTTGTCATGGTAATAGGAAAGTAACCAAAACAGGAAGCTACTGTTGCTGTTTTGTTTGGACATAATGTACCAGTGAATTGCCATCTAAATATCTTTATTTGTGTCCATATAGCAGTGCTGCTGTCAAATATGGTCAGAGAAGTGTCTTTTTATAGTGGGTGCAGTTACTGCAAACTCAAAACTGGTCAAAGTGCTGAAAATAGGAGGCTATTGAGTGCTCATTTTTAAATTGGACATCTATATCACCACTTCCAAGGTTCAAGAAATGATATGAGGGGTTTACGAGGCAAGGGAAGGGGTGGAGTACATAGAATTCTATCTTCAAGGCCTTATATGGCCATTACATGGCTTAAACTCTTAGAAGTTGTGGTTACCTGCCCAAGACCTGTCCAGAGGGTCCAATCAACATTCCATTATGGAAAGTAGAGAGGATTGTAAGGCCATTCTCCTTCTTCAGGATTTATTGACCATTGCTAGATGGAAGGGGTCATAAAGGCCTACTGATCCACAAGACTGATAGTCAGTTAATGATTTCTGGGAGAAGAAAGACATTTTCTTCAACGGAATAGCCACTGTAAGTTGCCCACTGTCCTGTAAATAACATCTTAGCCATGCTTCTAGAGTTAATCCTAATTTAACTTCTTGGTTCACACACAAAAAAGACATGAAAGTGCGAAAGGATTGTGTAAGAAGAGGAAGGAGATAAGTGGGAATGAAAGAAGAATAAGAGCAATGAGTGATAAATATGATAAAAATATGTAAAATACATATATGAAAATGTTATAACACTCATTATTATGTCTAACTAAGATATGCTAAGAAAAAGTTTTAAAATGAATAAAATCCTGTGGATAAGTTTTTAGAAATTAAATTCAATAAGCAAAAGTCCCTCTTGAAATAAATATATGTATGCAATATATATAATAGTGGCTTATTGCATTTTGACACCTAAACATATATGTATCAGGCTTGTGTTTCCTCTGTGTCATAACAAGTCCATTATGCTTACCTCCATGGTTAGGATGTCTCCAGAATTCTTCATTCCATTTATGTGTGCAACTTTTCTAAGTTCCTTTAAGCTCTTTTGAGGTTTGTTGATCACAATCAGCCACCGAGCTGACTCTGACATCCACCTGCTCAAGAAGATGTTGAAAGTAAAATCAATTTTCATTTGGTCATTTCTTGCACCACATTTGTCCTTGGGTAGTTTTATTATTAGTCTAATGGTTACAATTCATTCTGTTATAGCAGTAATATAATCATATGTTGTCTGGTACCTTCACCAGGAAACAATTCACCCATGCAGTACACCTGTACTTCTGGAATGCAGAACCAGAGTCATTTGGGTCTCCCTGCCATGATTTGGATGCAAATTTACATGGAGTTCACTGAACTGGAATATAAGGGACACCTGTATAGCACTTTGCCAGATTCCTTGTTAGAATGCAGGAAGCGCCGGGCGGTGGTGGCGCACGCCTTTAATCCCAGCACTCGGGAGGCAGAGCCAGGCGGATCTCTGTGAGTTCGAGGCCAGCCTGGGCTACCAAGTGAGTTCCAGGAAAGGCGCAAAGCTACACAGGGAAACCCTGTCTCGAAAAAAACCAAAAAAAAAAAAAAAAAAAAAAAAAGAATGCAGGAAGCATTTATTCATATTTTTTCCTAAATTAAGGACCTCTGGAAAATTTTGCATAGTAATTATACCATCTGAATTGCATTCATTACTACACCAAGCACCTGATGGTATCTAGCCACTCATTAAAGATGAACCTGACTTAGTTTCTCACCTATATAATGGGAACTTCAGTACTACAATGTTGATTGATGTGTTGTAAAGATTTAAATTATATGAATGAGTCTGACAGATTTACTCCTTCGTCTATAAGAACTCATCTCACTGTATCAGACCTATAAGCACGTCTTAGAATCGTTTCTAAGCTAGTGTGCCTTCTCTGTTGATCTAATATTCTAACACTTTTTAAGTGTTTTTAAAAGAGGAAAGGGTATGATTTTGCTCTGGGAGCTAAGCCCCACATAGCCTCTTGCACTAAATAGGGGACCCCAGCTTTCCCTGCTCAGGCTCATTCAGGCAGCCCCGAAACTCACTGCACCAACCTAAAGAGAAAAATTACATCTCAACCATACTGAGACTTAGTCCTCTCCTGAGTATTGTAAGTATCTCTAGTAAAAGAAAAGGCAGCCTGAACAAAAAAGAGGAAGAAATAAACACTCAACCAACAAAGTTCTCCAACTGCTTCAGTCCCCACTCAGAAACAAGATAAACCAAGACAACATGACTCTTCCAAAAATTACTAATCCCAAAATAATGATCCATAATAAAAATGACCAGAAAAAATCCCAGACAAATAATTCAACATAGTTATTATAACTATATTTAGCACTTCAAATAATATGTGAATATGCTCCAAGAGAACAAAAACAAAGAGAAATAAAATAAGAAAGTCGATGCAAGATATAAAAACAGAATTCAGTGAAGAGGTGGAATTACTGAAGAAAAACTAAGCTGAAATGATGCTGAAAATGAAAAACTCAATAATTAATTCGAATAGAAACCTCAGTGGAACCCAGGCTGGCATCAAACTCATGATCCTCCTGCCTCTGCCTCCTTCAGCAAATCCTACTGGTGTGTGCCACTACAACAGTCTGTTAAGCTTAGACTTTTAGTTGGACTCCTAACAATGGAAAGGGGGATGTCTCTAAATATTTTGCCTGCTTGTGGGACCTTTTTCTCCTACTGGGTTGTCTTGTCCAGCCTTGATATGAGGACTTATGCCTAGTCTTATTGAATCTTGTTATGCCACCATCAGTTGATGTCACTGGGAGGCCTGTTCTTTTCTGAAGGGAAGTGGAGGACCAGTGGATGGGGGGTGGGCAGACTAAGAGGATGGAAGGGAGGGGAGGCTGTGGTCAGGATGTATTATATGAGAGAAGAATAAACTTAAGTAAATAAATAACAACTTTGTAGAGAATAAAACTCAGTGGAAAGCCCCGTCAACAGAATGGATGATGCAGAAAATGAAGTATTAGGGATGGAAGACAAGGTAGAAGAAACAGGTCATTCAGTGAAGGTCAATGATATATTTTTAAATATGCATGAAAGGATTGTTGCTTGCAGAGTTCCACATTTTTTACCAACTTCAAAGGAAGCTGAGGGCCCATGAAAGGTTCTGTTTTTAACTCCAGGTTAATACTACAGGTGTGTGCCAGGCAGTGGTGGCACATACCTTTAATCCCAGTACTCATGAGTCAGAAGCAGACAGATTTCTGTGATCTTGAGGCCATCCTGGTTTACAGAGCTAGTTCCAGGACAGCCAAGGCTTCACAAAGAAACCCTGTCTCAAAAAAAGGGGGGGGGGGGGGGGGGGGGGAGAGAGAGAGAAAGAAAGAAAGAAAGAAAGAAAGAAAGAAAGAAAGAAAAGACTACAGATGTGTGGAAAGTTCCACATCTCCCATTAGCTCTAGCAGTAGCTGAGAAACTAGGGTGAGCCAGATATGACTCTGGGAAAAGACCATAGGCATGTAAAGAGTTCCTTAACCCACAGCAAGAGCTGCAAACCCAGGCAGGAGGGCCTCACTGACACAGGACAATACCTGACCCTCAGAGAAACAATAGAACTAGATCTTCTAGCCCTAAAAACCAGTCCCAGAGAGAAAAGGAACATCTCAACTCTAGTAGGACTTTACTGAAACTTTAAAAGGAGACATAAATTTAAATAAAAATGTAAAAGAATAAAAGGAAAACACAACCAACAAATTAACTCCAGATGTGCAAGTCCCATAACAGAAATAGAAATAAAATGGAAAACCAACACAGCATTTCTCCTCCACAAGCCACTGCTCCCATAATAATGGCACCTAATTGTTGCAGAATATTTGTTTAACTATGCAAAGATGTGTTCCATTTGTTTACATTGTGGAACATTATTTTAACTATGTAAAGATATGTTGCGTTTATTTAATTGTGTAAAGATGTGTTGCTGTTTCACCTTGCCTGCCTATGGCACCTGATTGGTCTAATAAAAAGCTGAACAGCCAATAGTGAGGTGGGAGGTATAGGCAGAACTTCGAGGCAGGGAGAGTAAGTAGGAGGAGGAATTTAGGCTCAAGGGAAGAAAGAAAAAGGAAATGACATGGAGATGCCAGGGGCCAGACAGACAGACACAGAGTAAGCAGAAAAGTAGGACATAGAAGGAAGGAAATGTAAAAATCCCTGAAGCAAAATGCAGATAAATAGAAACAGGTTAAATTAAGTTAAAAGAGCTAGTAGGACAAACCTAAGCCAAGGCCGAGCATTCATAATTAATAATAAGTCTCCGTGTCTTTATTTGGGAGCTGGTTGGTGGCTCAAAGAAAATACCAACTACAAATGGCACCCAACATGGTGCCCAAATTTCCACATAGGGCCTGAGAAAGCTGAAGAAAAAAGAGAGGAAACAAGTTAAAGAACAAAAAAATAAAAAATAAAAATTGAAAAAATGAATGTGGCTCCTCTAAGAGGCACTGCAGTGCAGCAGAGCATTGGAGCAGCCAGCACACTAAGTAGAAACAGCAAATTGGTGGCCCAAAGAAAACGCCAACCACTCCTAATGAAAATAACTTGGAAGAACTACTGGACAAAGAATTCAAAGGAATGATTGTAAGTATGTTCAAACAAGTCAAAGGAGACATAAATACACTCCTAGAGAACAAAAACAAAGAGATGAAGGAGTGAGGCTTAAATAAGATGGCATTTGAATAGTTGGTCCCCAGTTGGTGGCGCTGTTTGAATAGGTTTAGAAAATGTAGCCTTGTAGAAGGAAGTGTGTCGCTGGGGGTGGGCTTTAACATTTTAAAGATTCATATTGTTTCTAGTTCAGTCTCTTGGCTCCCTGTTTGTAATTTGAGATGTGAACCCTCAGTTTTTTCTAGAAGCCTCCATGCCTGCCGCCTGCTGCTACGATGGACTCTTATCCTTCTAGCACCATAAACCCCTCCTTCTGTAAGCTGCCTTGGTCATGGTATTTTATCACAGCGGTAGAAAAGCAGCTAGCACAGAAGTCAATCCAAGGAATGAAAATAGAGACAGGACTACTGAAGGAAACCAAAACTGAAATAATGCTAGGATTGAAAAACCTAATAAGCCAAATAAAAACTCAGTAGCAACCCTCACTGATAAAATGGACATGTGACAAGCAGTATCAGAAATGGAAGACAGTGAGAGGAACTGGATCACTCAGTAAAAGTCAATAGTAAATTTAAAAAGAAGTAGGAACAGAAAGTGGAAAGGTTCTGGACCACCATGGAAAGACTTAACCTTCAGATTATGGGCACAGAAGAAGAATAACACCACAGCAAAGGCGTAAAGAATATTTTCAATAAAGATCATATCAGAAAATTTCTTAAACTTAGAGAAAAAAAAAATGGTCATCCAGGTATAAGAGGCCTACAGAACTCCAACTAGATGGGGCCAGGAAAAAGAATGCCCCACAACATACTGTAGTTAAAACATTAAAAACACAGACTAAAAAATGTTAAAAGCTACAAGAGAGAAAAGTCACATAACTTATAAAGCAAGCCCATCAGAATAATTCCTGATTATCTAACAGAAACTTTTTGACCCAAAGGAGCTTGGAAAGATGTATTCCAACTTCTGAAAGACAACAATTATCCACCAAGAATATTATAAGCAGCAAAACTATCTACTAAAATTAACGGAAAATTAAAACTTTTAATGATAAAAACGGATTTAAGGAATTTCTGACCACTGAGCCAGCTCTACAGAAGACACTAGGAATATTTGCTCTCAAAACAAGAATGAACACACACAAGAAGTCACAGGGAATAAATAAACAATTTCAGAACAATTCATCTAAAGAGGTCTAAGAAAGCGCCACAAAAACAAAAAATGACAGAAATAAATATACAAAATTCAATAATAATATTAGTGGTCTCAGTTCCCCAATAAAAAGACATGGACTAGCCGGGCGGTAGTGGCGCACGCCTTTAATCCCAGCACTCGGGAGGCAGAGCCAGGCAGATCTCTGTGAGTTCGAGGCCAGCCTGGGCTACCAAGTGAGTTCCAGGAGAGGCGCAAAGCTACACAGAGAAACCCTGTCTCAAAAAAACAAAACAACAACAACAAAAAAGACATGGACTAACAGATTGTATTAGAAAACAGAGTCTCTTTTTGCTGCTTTCAAGTAACAAAACTTAAAAACAAAAATAGATATCACCTTAGAATAAAAAAGTGAAAAGGTGGATTCTAAGCAAATGGACCCAACAAACATGTAGGCATAGATAGATATTCTAATATCTGACAAAACAGACTTCAAAACAAAACTAGTCAGAAGTGATAAAGTAACTCATTCCATACTCATTAAGATAGTAATCCACCACAAGATATTACAATTCTAAATATATATGTACCGAAAACAGCTGTACTCAATTTTATAAAAGAAATACTATTAATTCTAAAATCCCAAATTGACTCCAATTCAGTGATAGTGGGTGACTTCAATACCCCAATCTTACCAGTACATAGATCAGGACAAAAAAAAATAAAATAATAACTGTTTTTAAAAACAAAAGAATAAGAGGCCCCTCCAGCCACCAACCTGAGTCCCTCCCCCACTTTCTCAGTGCCCTCCTACCCTTTCCCCAGTTCCCCATCCCCTCCTTGTCACCATGTCCCAGACCTCAAATCAGGCAGAGACCCCCTGCCAAACCAGAGGGACACCAGAAGTCCAATCCCCAACTCCAATAGAGACACCCCCTCCCACCCCATCCCACCCCACTCTGTTCAACTACAGGCCACACAGGCCAGAAGACCAAGAGGAAACAGAAACCAAGGAACAAAACACCAATCCAAAAATCACAAACCCAGAAACAGGCACCTAGACCTATAATCATCCCAAACTCAGATGCCTGGACCCTAGCATAAGAACACAATCAACAACAGCCAAGGCAACGTATCACTACCAGAGCCTAGCTAGCCTGCTACAGCAGGCCCTGAATATTCCAACACAGCTGAAGCACAAGAAAAAGATCTTAAAACCAACTTTTTGATGATGATAGAGGTCCTTAAAAGAGAAGCGAATAAATCCCTTAAAGAAATCAAGGAAAAGACAAACAGAAAACTGGGGAAATGAGTAAATCCCTTAAAGAAAGCCAAGAAAAGACAAACAAGCAGTTGAAGGAAACAAATAAAAGTGTTCAAGACCCAAAAATGGAAATAGAAGCAATAAAGAAAACAAACTGAGGGGATTCTGGAAATAGAAAACCTAGGTAAGCAAATAGGAACTACAGACACAAGGATCACCAACAGAGTACAAAAAAAAAAATGGAAGAATCCATTTGGGGAAAGAAAAAAAACATTAAAATTGTTCTTAATTTCACTAAGATAATCATTTAAGTGAGATAAGTTTTTTCTTTTATGTCTAACATATTCATGCATTCTGTTTAAAACATAAGCATGCTATAAATGTTAAGAGCTAACGTATATGTTGCACCTCCAATATTTTTAAGTGTTTTATTTATATGTAAAAATCTAAATGAAAAAATTAGTATGAAATAACATAAAATTAAATGAACATAACAAGCATCTAGAGAACATTCTACTCAAACAATAAATAGCATGCATCCTTTGTAGTGGCAGCCCAAGGAACTTTCTCCAAAATCAACTTCATATTAGGACACAAAGCAAACCTCAACAAATATAGGAAAACTTAAATAAACAACCTATATTCTATCTGACCACACAGAAATAAAGCTGGGTATCATAGCAACAGAAACTATGGAGAGTACACAAATTTGTGGAACCTAAATAATGACTGGGAAGAAATCAAGAAGGAAAATTGTAATTGCTAAAATTGAATGAAATAAAAATGCAACATACCAAAATCTATGGAACTCAATAAAGGCAGTCCTAAGAGGGGACTTTTATAGTACAAGTGCCTATATCAAAAAAATTTGAGAGATTTCACGTTAATAATTTAATGGTATATCTTAAGGCCTTGGAAAAACAAGAACAGACCAATCCCAAAAACAGTGGATAGAACAGATAACCAAAATCAGGGCCAAAATTAAGAAAATGTAACAAAAACTTAGAAAGACAAACAAGATTGGCAAACCCTTAACCAAATTAACCAAAAGAGGGAAATGACCCAAATGAGGAAAATTAGCAATGAAAGTAGAAACATTATAACAGATACCAATGAAATTCAGAAAATCATGGGGACATATTTTTAAATCTCTTGTCCATTAAACTTGAACATCTAAAATAAATGGACAAATATCTAGTTGCATGAAACATAACAAAATCAAACCAAGATGAAATAAATAATTTAAAAAGGTCCATAGCCAGCAATGAAATTGAAGCATAAATAAAATTGTCCTGACCTAAAGAACTCTAGGCCCAGACACATTCAGCACAGAATCCTACCAGAATCTCAAGGAACTAACACCAATACTTTTCAAATTATTCTATAAAATAGTTAAGGAAGGAACACTTCCAGACTCTTTTCTACGAAGCAGTATTGATGTTATTTTGCTGTGTGCTCAGATTTTCAAACTCAATTTATATTCATATTTTTGTGCTTCTCTCAACCTTAGTTAGACAAACTTGTTGTTGAAGAGGGCAGTGGTTAATGCAGAGCATCATAACTCTTCAGAATGTTGAGAGTAAGTGACTGAGTTCTCAGCCATAGATGGGACATCTATATCAACACTTCCCCACCCAGGGTTCAGGGAAAGTGGTGAAAGGGGATAGGAAGAATGTAAGCACTAGAAGGTGGAAAGGAGTGCTGTGAAATGCTTTCCTCTCAACATGGCATGGCTGTTTTACATGATGTCACAGCACACAAGATCAAGCCAGTTAAAAATTCTAGCAGGAAGGGGGATGGGCACCCCAAGTTCCACCCCTAGCTGAGGATTTATTGGCAGTTGATGGCTATTGGAAAAGAAAAAGTCACTTTAGGAATGTGGTCACTGATGGCTTTCCCCATAACCCAGTGAATGACCCTACACCCATGAGCACATGGGCAGTGCTCATTGGACTCAGAGAGATAAATATGTAAGTATAAATAGTACATAAAGTTGGGAAGATGTGATTGGGGTCCTGGTGGGAGTTGGAAGGGGATAGTGAGGGATGGATGTGATCAAGATACGTTCTATCCATGTATAAATGTATACATGAAAACTTCAAAGAATAAACTTTTTGAAAATTTGAGATACATACATCCTATTTGGATATCTAATAAAATTTTTAAACTTTCAAACCACAAAAAAAATGTGAGACAGACTTGGTAGCACACACATTAAATCCTAGCACGAGATGGGCAGAGGCAGATGGATCTCTGTGATTTCATGGCCAGGATGGTTTACAAAGCAAGTCCCAGGACAGCCAGAGCTGTGTGGTGAGACTCTATCTCAAAAAAAATTTTTTTTAATTAAATTAAAATTAAAAAATGGAAAGGGAAAAAAGGGTATGTAAAGAACAAATGAGATGAGTGAGTCATTCTGCCTACCGTTGTTTTTAAGATTTTATTTTTATTTGCTTTACTTTTATGTGAAAGGGTGTCTTGCCTGCTCGTGTTTCTGTGTACCACATGCATGCTTGGTGCCTTTGGAGGTCAGAAGAGGGCATCAGATTCCCTGGAACTGGAGTGGATAAGTGGTTGTGAGCCACTATGTAGGTGGTAAGTATCAAACATGGGTCCTCTGGAAGAACATCCAGAGCTCTTAACCACTGAGCCATCTCTCCAGGCCCCTGCCTACAATTTTAATCTAGAGAAATCATGTATGTTCTTTCATTAAACAGTGAGGATAAATTTACTTCTTGTCTTTTATCCATATCACCTGCAAAGATAAATGTCACAACAGTTTCCAAAATGTTTTTCTTTTTACAGTTACTCATACAAACTACAGTAACGGCAATCTAATCTTTGAAGATTTTCCTGTAATGAAATGAAATATTTTTGCAAAAATTCTATTATAACCTGAGTAAATAAAGCTTGGTAGCAAAGACACACAGAAAGACCAAGAACATTCTGATAAGGACTCATTGCTATTCTCTTTTTTAGGGTAGTTTTTTTCCTAGTAAATAAAATTAACTTATGTATAATAAAGTTTAAATATCAAATAGTACACATTTTTATTAAGTATACCATATCTAATAGTGATAATATGTATGTGTTGAATATTCTTCCTCATAAATTACCTATTTATCCATAGTATGAATACAAGGGAATACATTTTATCCAGTTTTTAATAAAAAATCAGAACTCAGCACTCGGGAGGCAGAGCCAGGCGGATCTCTGTGAGTTCGAGGCCAGCCTGGACTACCAAGTGAGTTCCAGGAAAGGCGCAAAGCTACACAGAGAAACCCTGTCTCGAAAAACCAAAAAAACAAAAAAAACAAAAAAAAAATCAGAACTCACAATTAGAATCTTCATATAAACAATGAGTTCTCAGTATAACTATATCTCTTGTTATACATGTATATAATTTTGTAAAAATACTTATAATCGGGGCTGGAGAGATGGCTCAGAGGTTAAGAGCACGGGCTACTCCTCCAGAGGTCCTGAGTTCAATTCCCAGCAACCACATGGTGGCTCATAACCATCTATAATGAGATCCAGTTCCCTCTTTCGGCCTGCAGGCAGAACACTGTATACATAATAAACAAATAAATCTTTAAAAAAAAGAAAGAAAAAATACTTATACTCTTAAATCAAGTTTAATTCAGTATCCTTGGTTCATCTGAGAGTCTTGCTTGTCCTCATGTCACAAAATACAAAGTGGAGCACACACTGTCAGGTGCAGACCAAGCACAAATGCATTGCTTTCGTCCTGATTCCATGTGCATTGTCATCCCAGGACTCCATAAGACAAAAGAGAAAGGAAATTCATACCTTGTGGGTACAAGTAAGAAAAACATTGGTACAGACAGTGCCAGCTGGATGTGGTGCCAGGATTGAACAGCAAAAGCCAGGCCTGCCAATGTTACCTGTCCAGTCGCTGCAGCGCATAATAACAGTGCTGTTGCCATGGCTTGGAATTTAGGTTTTGTCCATTCTATTACTGAAAGAAAAGAAAATGAATCTTAACTTCCAATTAAGGTGGGAAGGACATCCAGGTCAAAACCAAAGCTTGGAAAATGTCCATCAAATGCTTTGACTTACTGAGCAAGCCACTATTTGTAGAAAAAGTTGAGAAGGAAACCCCTGCCAGGAAACGTAGTAAGCAGTAGATGAGGAAGGTGGGGGCAAATGCTGCACAGGTTTCAGTGACAGCTGTTTGCAGTAAAGCACATATGAAGAGTAACCTCCTCCCAAACCTAAAGGAAAGGAAGGATTAGATTATGGGAACAATGCAGCTGGCATACAAATTGAAGACACTTTAAAATGATAATCAAAAAGTAACCAAGAGTATATCCTGCAAAGCTACTTTCTGTGCTTGTAAACAGTATGAACCAAAGCCTTTTCTCTGATTTGGTACCAGTATTTTTCCTACTAATTCAAGCCACAAGACGGGTATAGAACATTGGAGTTTTAACATAATATAAATACCTCTTACTAAATTATGCATTTAACATGTATACTTGTCCCATTGCTATGACAAAATACTTGATACTTGATTAAACCAACTTCAGGGGAGAGGGATTTGACTTTGGCTCACAGTTCCACACAGTACACACATGGTGGAGAAGACATGGTGTAGTGGTTCCATGGTGGCAGGAGAATGTAAGAGTTTCTCACATGGTGACTGACCCTGGCAGCAGAGTTCAGACTTAACCTAGAAGGTGGTATCTCCATCAGGTCTACTGTGAAAAAAACTCAACTCTACCAGTCAGCCTCCACAACCAAACGTTCCATAACTTCCCAAAAGACTTCCATCGAGTAGAGGGACAAAGAATTCTGTGGGTGATACTTCACATTCAGACCGGAAAAGTATAGATTACACACAGTATTTCGTATTGCTATCAAAATCAGCACTTGGGCATCCAGGACCTCAGTGCCTGTGATTAAAGTTGTATCACAGAACATCTGTGAATATCTGATGGTAGCCTGTATCAAAGCTTCTCTCTGCTGAGTTTGGATTTAATGACCCTGAACAACATTGCATTTCCTTGTGCAGGTTATTTAAAAGTCACAATGCAGGCATAAGAACTAGTACAAAGGTCTAAAGAAATAATTAAGCCAGATGAAGAATGAAGCAATACAAAACAGAAAGAATCAAAAAATCAATATTCAGAGTTTTATTGCCAACTAGAAGAGGAATCCTTTCTGACCAGTTGAACAAAAGCATGTGCACTGATTTTACATAAGTTGGGTAACTAGAGAACCACTATGTTGACAGCATATTTACATTGTGACATTAATTATACATGCTATTTTATGCACATTTATATAACATATTCATAATTCTTAAGTGTGTGCTTCAATTTAGAACAAGGAATGAATAAAAAAAGTGGTGTGTTAGATGAAATGATAAAATAATAGTCTTGGTAAAACTTGGTCAGTCAAAACAATACATTGGTATATCATATAAAGTATACATATTCTCATAGGAAAGAATCATCTATAAAACTGGTAAATGTTCTACTTTTTAGACAGCAAACCTTTAGTGGTAACCTAGTTGTCTATTCCCAGAAGAAGGCTCAGGACACTCATTATGGATTCCCACTATGAAGCACCAGGTAGCAATTAGAAAAATAACCTAAAAGCACAGAGATACATAGGTATCCCAACAAACAGAAAAATCGCACCAAAGAAAAAGAGCGTTGAAAGACACGGTCCCTAGGTGGTGGCATTGTTCTAGAACCTTTGGAATATGGGGCCTCATTGAAGGAAGTGCTTCTCTGAAGACTTTGAGTAGAGAGCCTGGCACCAGTCCTTATCCATTCTCCCCTTCCTAGTCTGCAATATGTGAGTAGATAGCCTCCATCCCTTGTCACCATAGACATATGGTGACATAACCCCTCATTCCATTGTGTCTTTCCAACATGATGACTGTACCCTCGAGCATGTGCAAAACCAAAATACAGAGAACAACTGGCCATGGGGTGCTCAAGCCAACTGATGCATCTACAGTATAACCACTATGCCTAGGGCTCAGAAAACATCACAGAAGAGGGGATAGTATGATTACAAAAGCCAGAGGGCCAGAATGTTTGCCTTCTATATACAACAGGAGCTGTACCCATAAAATCTGAAGAATATGGTCACCTAAATAAGACTAGCACAGTGACAGCACCAGTTGTCATGCCAACATGGATGGGGGAAGTCTCATAAGACCCCACCCCTAGTTGAAGAGCTATAGGCAGTTAATGGCTGCTGGGAGAGGGAGAAGCAGTCTTCTTCAGGGATTGTAGGTTATCCAGTCCCAAGTAGTCAGCCCTCAACACACACATACAAGCAAAACTAAGTGGACTCAGCAGATTATATTTATATGTGAGTATGAACATATATAAAATAATAATTAAAGAAAAAGAGGTCATGAATTTGAGAGATAGTTGAGGTACACAGGAGGAGCTGGAGGAGGAGGTGAAGAAGTGATATAAACAGTACGCTCAAAAATTAAAACTTTTTAAATTGAAAAAACCCTTTCTTAATTTTCTCTTGTCAGGAGTTTGCTAACAGAGATTAGGAAAGCCACTAATATGGAACACACCTGAATGATCTCTTATTAATAGGGGGATATTAGATGTTTGAAATTTGAAAGATCGTTATATGTATAAATACTTCTTTCCTCATTTCAGATTCTCTTTATTTTTTTCTCTGTTTTGGTTTTGGTTTTTTGGTTGGTTTTTTTTTCTGTTTGTTTGCTTGCTTGCTTGGTTGGTTAATTTTTTTGGTTTTTCAAGACAGGGTTTCTCGGTGTAACTCTGGAATGTCAGGGTACCTCTTCCCACCTTCTTTGTTTTGAAGAATGACTTTACACTGTGACATTTCTTGAAGACTAATAAATAATTCTAATCAAAGACTAACAATTCTAATGAAAAGGTCAAGATAATGAGAACAAATTCAAAACAAAGATCAAAATTTAACTAGCTCTTTGGCTAAACAGAAGAAAAAATGATCAATTTACATATTCCATGTGAACTGTAAGAATAAAATGGCTGCACCAGGCTCTCCTTGGTAGAAGTTGCTGGACAGTCGTGGGCATTTCACAGTTAGTCGTTTTCTGACTCGGAGAGTGTGAGCACTTAGGATGCCACGTGGAAGCCGAAGCCGCTCTTCCCGGGTGGCCCCTCCGGCCAGCCGGGCCCCTCAGATGAGGGCTGCTCCCAGACAAGCACCTGCAGCTCATCCTCCAGCAGCAGCTGCCCTGTCTGCAGTTGGCTCACCTGCCGCTGCCCCCAGGCAGCCAGGCCTGATGGCCCAGATGGCCGCCACTGCAGCTGGTGTGGCTGTGGGCTCTGCAGGGGGGCACACGCTGGGTCATGCCATCACTGGGGGCTTCAGTGGAGGTGGTAATGCTGAGCCTGCAGGGCCTGACATCACTGACCAGGAGCCACAGGAACCCCAGCTGGTGAACCAGCAGTCTCTTGGGCCTTGCTCTCTTGAGATCAGTTTCTGGAGTGTGCCCAGAGCCAGAGTGACGTCAAGCTCTGTGAGGGCTTCAATGAGGTGTTGCGGCAGTGCAGAATTGCAAATGGTTTGATCTAATCAAGAAGTTGAAACTGAAGAAATTGAAATAGGCTCTACATAATTGACAGTGCAAGTGTGGACCCTGACTAAAATTTCTAATAGCTCCACTGCTTGAGAATAGCTATTAAAGAGTTCTAATTGTGTAGATATTCACTGAGGCTTGTAGTAGTGTTGGCACTGGGCAAGTGATGGCCTCCTGAACCAACTGTGTTGTGTTTTTTTTTGTGAGTTAATGAAAATAAAGTTGTTTTCTTCTGAGGAAAATAAATAAATAAATAAATAATGAAAAATAGCTGCACCAAAGGCTCAGGGACCATCAAGGAAGACAGAACAGAGAGATTGTTAAGAGCCAAAGATCAGAAAGATTGGAGCAAAACAGAGTCTTCTAGACTAAATAGGACACTGTACTCATCAGCTGGCAGCATCTGTGGTTGACCACAAAAGACCTACACAGGTCAAGCCAATCAACACTTCAGCATAAAGTGGGGAGGAGCTCATGAGTCCCTAACCCTATTAACAGCTGAGGGCTTCTCAAGAAAGGAGACTCAGTTTTCTTTAAGGTTATGGACTCCAGTAGGTAGACCATTCTACAGTGAATGGCCCCACACCGAGGGCAGCACAAATTGTAATCAACAGCTAATTTTTAAAAGGAGCTCAGGAGAATACAAAGTTGGGAGAGAGTGTGGGGTTGGGAATATGTTTGGAAGGAGTTAGGGAGGAGAGTGAAATGAATATGATAAAAAAATACATCATCTGCATATGTGAAATTCTCAAAAGCTAGTAAAAAATTATATTCCTAAAAGGATATGATGGCTGAAGAGGCTATGTTAATATTAGACAGAAATAGATTTTAGAACAGATGTTTGTCTGGGTGTGGTAGTATGTACCAGCAATTCCAGATGCTAGGACATTGAGGTACAAAATTATTATCTGAAGACTATTCTGGAACACACATAGAACTTGCTGAGGTGGGATGTGTAGTGAGACACTGTGGGGAAATCTACCCTTCCACATTCCCTCCATCCCCAACAATCTTGGTTGTTATCTTCTAAAGGAGGGTAATTCACACTGTATCCAAGTAGAAGTCAAAGTTAATCGTGAGCATAGTTCAAAAAAGCAGCAGTGTGAAAGTCTGCCTCCAATATCTGAACTTAGAGGTCCTGAGGTACTGTGTTCCTTCCGCTTGCCCTCCCTGGGGTGGTCTTCGGGTGTCTTCCTTCCTGGCAAGGAAGAGGCTTTCTTGGAAGCTGCCTTCACCCACAGTTCAGTCTTGTACAGTTAGACACACACACAGTGTAAGGATGTAAGTACTCACAAAGTTGACAACACACCAAGTAGAGGCAATGGTGCCTCTTAGATGTTCCTCAGAGAGAAGTTCTGTGGGAGCCAGCTAGAACCTGCTGAGACCAGCTCTGCTGTTTCCCTAATCCCTTTCCTGCCTCTTCTCTGGTTACCTCACACCCAGTTGCCAGCTTTCTTACTCGGCTTCCTTAGTGTTCCTGGTGTTGGGAAACACTGTATTAACTCCAAAATTTGTTTTAGCCATAATAATTTTAGGTTGGGGAAATCTGAGGCATGAGGATTATAAATTCAAGGCCACCCTGGAATATATATAGTTTGTGAACAGCATGTGCTACACAGTGAGATACCTTCTTTAAAATGAATAAAATAAAACAATCCACAAATAATAAGATGAATAAATATTTTAATGAGTCTTCATTGAGAAAAGGAAGTACAAATTATAATGCTGAATCTCAAATTTACATTTACATAAACAGTACTTTCAAATACACACAATAAAAACATAAAGTTAAAGGAAAAAGTAGTTTAGTAGAGTGAGAGATTTTAATATTGTTCTTGGTAATTAATAAAAAAGCAAAGAATATACCACAAGACTTGAAATGCATGAGTGAACATTACTTCCAACCAAAATTATTTGTTTGGCATTTACACAGCACTGTTCCATGAAGAGCAGGTTACAAGCTTGCTACGGTCTGGTGTGTGTCTAGGAGTCAGACTTGGAAAATTACTATCTGGCCTGATGGTACTAAGAGGGACCTTTCAGATTTTGTTAACTGTGAGTGGGGATGCCCTAGGCAGAATGGCTATCATCAGGAAATCGGAAAACAAACGCTGAACATGATGTGGGAAAAAGAGGAACATTTATTCACTGCTGGTGGGGATGCAAATTAGTACAACCAATATGAAAATTGGTGGGGAGGTTCCTCAAAAAATTAAAATTAAAACTACCATATGACCTATCCATATAACTCCTGGACATAGACCCAAGACTCCATATCCTGCCACAGAGACACTTGCTCATCATTTTTATTGTTGCTATATTTGTGATAGCAAGAACATAGAACCAGCCTAGTTGTCCATCAACAGATAAATCAATAATGAAAATGTGTTATACGCACATGATGGAATACTCTTCAGCTGTAAAGAAATCATAAGATTTGCAGGAAAATAGGTGGATCCAAAAAGTGTAATATTAAGTGAGGTCACCCCACCCCCAAAAGAAACAAACTGCACATTCTTCCATATATGAGGATCATTGCCTGTAATGCATATATGTGAAGAGCTGTAAAGCCTGAAAAAACCAGAAAAGAGGCCAAATACTTGGTGATGGGGAAGGATGAGGGTGGGAAAAAGACAATGGGACATGAAAAAGAAAAGAATCTAGAAGTTAGCAACAGGGAGGGGCACAGAGACTGCGGGAGGGGATGTGGAGGAAGAAGAACCACGCAAACACACTTTGTTTGAAATATCATGTGGGGCTGAGGAGATGGCTCAGTGGGTAAGAGCCCTGCTGTTCTACCAGAGGACACAGGTTCTATTCCCAGCATTCACATGGCAGCTTACAACCATCTATAACTCCAGTTTGAGGGTATCTGACACTATCTTCTGGTCTCCACGGGCATCAGGCACACACATGGAGCACAGACAAACAGGCAAACCACCCACACACAAAGAATGTCTTAATAGTACCTAACACTGTGATGACTTCTTTTAAGGGGACTATATGAAGGGAGAGAGGGATTGGTTTGAGGCACCTGAAAAGGAGTGAAGGGGGCAGTTGGTGTGAGTATAAGGATATATTGCTGACAACTGTGAAATCGTCAAAGAACGATTAAAAGATATTCTTTAAAAAAAAAAAAAAAAGTATGAGGCAGGCAGTGGTGGCGCACGCCTTTAATCCCAGTGCTTGGGAGGCAGAGGCCGGCAGATCTCTGTGAGTTCAAGGCCAGCATGGTCTACAGAGCAAGGTCCAGGACAGCCAGAGCTACAGAGAAACCCAGGCTCAAAAACAATAATGGGGAAAAAAAATGAGAGTGGAGACCTCATGAATGGAATTAGTGACCTTATGAGAGAGGTGCAGAGCCAGTGAGATGGTGTGGTGGCTAAAGACACTTGCGGCCCGTGCTTGGGGAATTCAGTATGCCCTCCAGCTGCCATGTAGAGATGAAGTGAGAGAACTGACTCCGGAAAGTTGTCCTCTGACCTCCACATTGCAAGTCGCGGCACACATGCTCACACACACATCATGTACATATGTCCACAGGGATACCAAATGTTTAAAGTTAAAATAAAAGAAGCACCACGGAGCTGTGTGCATCCTGTACTGTCTGAGGGCCCAAGTGTATGCCACTTCTGCTACAGGAAAAGGCAGCAACTCGCTTGGCAGAAAGGGCCATCTATTTAAAAAGAGGTGGTTTTTTTTTCAGTCACCAGATCTAAGTTATGCCACAAACTACGGTGACAGTTGTCATTAGGTGATTTGCTTCATATGCCTAAAAGTGTGACCTTTAGAAATCATCTTTGGCAGAAGCAGAAATAAAAGTGACAGACACAGCTGCCCAACACACCAATGACGCCATAGGTATCAAAGGACATTCCATCACTGTGCTTAAGAAATGAAGACATAATGTCCCTTCTCTGGGCACCATAGCTGTTCAGTGAGGTGTCCAGGAGGGAGAAAGCACAGCTCCTCTGGGAAGAGTGTCAATGCTGTTGTCTGTATTTGAATATTCAAATAGGATGAAAACAATGTGTTGACCATCTTGGTCTCATTCCCATAGTTGACTGTTTCTCATATCTCTCAACCATGCTGTGACACTTTCTCTCTATTCCCCATCCTGAAACATCCCCATATCTCATGAAGAGGCTATTCCTGTGTCCATACAACACATAGACTTCTATTCAGACAACATTCATCACACTGAGTGAAATTTCCATTTTTGTTTGTGGTTCTCTAGAATCAAAGATAGAGCTAGAAGAATATAATTTGCAATGGCTACCTCATTCATAATGAATGAATGACTCACAGAGAGAGCCATAAACCAGAGACACTCACCTGTCCGTTAAGCGGCCATAGATGATATTTCCTACTAACATACCAGTCAAGAATAGAAACTTAGCTATTGATTCCAGCGACTGAGATTCACACACCAAGTCCCACTGGAAGATATGGAAACCAGCAAAGTTAGACTTATAGCCTGTCAGTCAGACTATATCAAAATGCTTTAATGTGACCCTCAAGCCTCATTGTAGCAGCCCCCTAAACTCCTCTCCCATTTCAGTACCACCTGATTTCTACAATCTTGTCTCAGTTTAAACACACCTGGCTCCAGGAATCTTTCCCTAGTAGCTAGGACCTAGTTCTTTAGGTAGTACTACTGACTTGTAGCCCATGCTAAGAAATTCTCAAATTTGGCCACATACTGTAATAATTTGAGAGCCTTAAAAAAATGTACTGGAGCCAGGTGGTGGTGGTGGTGGTGGTGGCGGCGGCGGCGGCGGCAGCGGCGGCGCACACCTTTAATCCCAGCACTTGGGAGGCAGAGCCAGGTGGGTCTCTGTGAGTTGGAAGCCTGCCTGGTCTACAGAGCAAGATCCAGGACAGGCACCAAAACTACATAGAGAAACCCTGTCTTGGAAAAAAAAAAAAAACAAAAAAACAAAAAAATGTACTGGATCCTATACCTGAGCACAGCCTCTCATATCACTCTGAGAGCAGCAGAGTTTGGATATTGACTTTATAGGATTAGAGGAGGAGGAGGAGGAGGAGAAGGAGGAGGAGGAGGATATGATGATGAAGAAGAAGAAGCAGATAGATGGATAGATAGACAGACAGACAGACAGACAGACAGACAGACAGACAGACAGATAGATAGATAGATAGATAGATAGATAGATAGATAGATAGATAGATAGATAGGATATAGATACAGATATACATTAGATACAGATATATTGACAGTACTGAAGTTGTATCCCAAGGGCATGTGTACAGCCCCATTCTACCCTGTCACAGAAGGTAAAGTATTGAGACTTTTTAGAGTGATAGGGATTGAACCCTGGGCTCACACGTGCCACACAAGTGTTATACCAGTGAGCCATACTTCCAGACAGCCCACTATGCTTTTGTTCAATCTCCTAGATATTTCTTATTTGAAATCCAAGCTGAAAAATAAATACTGACTTGTAGTATTTATTTTAAAAAAAAGGACATGAATTATTTGCTTAAACTGATTTGACACATAAGAATTACTTTTTAAACTGTAGTCATCCCCTAGAGTGAAATAACCAGGAAAATAAAACTCCTTTTCATTTTTTTTGAATACGTGTTTCACATTTAATAGATAAGTAATCAACATTGGCTAAAAGATTAAATCTAAGCTCAAAACATGTGCACTATTCGTGCTATTGCTAAACACCCATCATGAACTGATGACAAGAAATGAAGTCACTTACCTCAGTCACAATGGTAGAGAGGAAAGGGCTCTGGTCATACACCCAGCCATCCACACAGGGCTCTATGTCTGCCTCTGTCACATTGGAGAAGGTGCCATTTAGATGAAGCAGATGCCACTGTGGTTGGACAAAACGATGACACTTGTCTGGTCTCAGGTTGGAGTCCAGGGGGATGGAGACCCTCAGGAGGTCATCTTGGCTCAGAATCCCACTTTCATTATCAGAGAGAGTGTCATTGTCAAGGATGGGAACCCAGCATCGATGACTGGGTATGGCTGCAGTGAAGTTCTCCAGTAGAGAATGAGGGGCCATTATGACATTGCAGATCAAAATGAAAGTCATCTGAAGGATCTGGAATCTCCCCAGGCTGCCAACTTGATCCAGGAGATCCTGAAAGGCCATCGAAGACAAAGAACTATGTCCAAGGGAAGGCAAGAACAATTGCTGCTGAGTGACTCCAAAGGTTTTAGCAAGTTCTGTTTCACTATACAGTAGACCCTGTTCCTCCTCCCTTTGCACCAAGGCCATGGAACAGCTATCCCTTAATGAGTTAGGTGTTAGGTAGGGAGCTGCTTCCTTTAAAGTCACCAAGAGGAACATTCTGCTGAGTTGCTTTCTGTAATGAATCTGTTAAAGGTTTACTTTGTGAGAAACTTTGTGCACAGCCCCTGTAGACATTGGTCTACAAATGCTGTGAAAAATAAACAAGAGTTAACCTGTTGTGCAACATGCAGTCCTTTACAGAACATGCACTTTTCCAAACTCAGAAGTTAGGTGTTTTTCATTTTCCTAATTTGTTCAATATTCACCTTGGTTAATACATATAATAAAAAGAATCAGAAGCTAAATTAACGGAAATAAAGTATGGAACAATTCTTGAACTTTGCTACCTGACCTTCTTCAGGTCCAATGCCCATGAACTCCCATTATAAATATATACTCAGCTGGTAGGAGGGTGGACAAGGGCACAGTGTTAGGTCTCAAAGAAACCCAGGACAAGTCTCCCGCAGTACATGTGCTCCTCCCAGCACTCATCAAACCACCCCTACCCTAAACCTCTTCCTCCCAGGGGCTGGGCTTCCACTTCCCTTCTCCCAGCTTTTGAGCCCTATACAACTCAGTCATTTTGGACACGCAGTCTCTTTGTCTCTTGGTGCTCTTGGTTCCTAGGTGTTCTCATGGCCCGGTTCAGTCTGCTGGCCATGTTCAGTCTGGGCTCTTCCAAATGCCTCCGGCTATTCTCTCCCTCAGATTTACAGTAAACTCTTACCCTCCGCCATACCTTGAAGCACTCATTTCCTCATTTTTTCTTTCATCTGGTGCCAAAGCAGCAGGAATGACATAAGCGAGCTCCCTTCCAAGTAACTCAGCCTCTCTGAGCCAAGCTGCTGGTTTGATTCCCCTAAGGTACTGTGGTGGTTTGAAAGAAAATGGCCCCCAAAGGGAGTGGCACTATTAGGACATGTGGCCTTGCTGGAGTAGGTGTGGTCTTGTGGGAAGAAGTGTGTCCCTGGGGAGACGGGCTTTGAGGTCTCATATATGTTCAAGCCATACCCATTGAGTCAGTTCACTTCCTGTTGCCTGCAGATCAAGATGTAAAACTCTCAGCTCCTTCTCCAGCACCATGTCTGCCTGCATGATGCCATGTCTTACCATGATAATGAACTGAACCTCTGAACTGTAAGCCACATGCCAATTAAGTGTTTTCCTTTATAAGAGTTGCCATGGTCATGGTGTCTCTTCACAGCAATAGAAACCCTAAAACATAAATTGGTACCAGGAGTGGGGTATTACTGTGCTAGGTCTAACCATGCTTTTGTTTGAAGGACCTTGGGATTGTGGATTAGAAAAGCAGTTGAATGCTTTAAGTGTTGCTTAATGAACCATTCTAGTAGGAGCATGGAATACAGTGGTGCTGAGTGTGATTTGAACTGTGGGTGCCTGGGTCAAGATGTTTCAGAGTAGAAGAATGGTAGTATGTGGCCTAGAGACCAGCCTTGTGATATTTTGGTGAAGAATGTGACTGCCTTTTGCCCATGTTTGAAGAGTCTGCCTGAGGCTAAAGTGAAGAGTTTTGGATTAATTCAGTTGGCAGAGGAAATCTCAAAACAGTCTAGTATAGACTGTGTTGTGTGGTTATTAGTGGTAACTCTAAAGAAGATTTATAATAAAAAGGAGCAAGCTGAACAGGGCAAATTACAAAATGTAAAATTTAAGGAGAAAAAGAGCACCCGGAGCTAAGTACTGTATTCAAAGAGATAAGCAGATTAAGAAATATAATAAAGGGAGTTGTGAGCTCAAGGCAAAATCTAACCCAGCTAAGTTTCCAACTTGTGAAATTGGAGTTAAAGAAAAGCTTAGAGCCAGGTGTAGTGGTATACACACCTTTAATCCTAGCACTCCAGAGGCAGAGGCAGGGGGATCTCTGAGTTTGAGGGCAGCCTGGTCTACAGAGCAAGTTCAAGGACAGCCAAGCTTAGGTGGTGAAGGAAACCATCAAAAACAGAAAGCTGGTGAATATGTAATTGAACAAGAGGGTCATGTTCCAGGCCCAGCAAACAGCAGAACTTGGCAGCTTCAACCACATGGTTCCAGCTTTAGAGTTAAGGATAGAAGAAAGGAGCTATGGAATTTGCCTCTATGACTAAGGAAAGCCACTGAGGCCAGGAATGTGTCACAAGTGTCCCTGAATAGAGGCCTAGAGAGGCTATTGTGTGAAGCTGTGAAGTTAAAGTCTGGATTGCCTTAATGTTGGAGACCACAAGATACTGGAGAAGCCAAAGTCGTGAGATACCTGCTGAGAAAAGCTGCTAACAGGGAATGGAACCAGCCCAAGAGATAGAAGTGTGTTGCAGTCAACAAAGCTGAAAGGAGTTGGAGATTTGAAGAGCACTTTGACATCAAACATGGAAATGCAGAGTTTGGAGTTTGCCTTGCTGGTTTTTTGCCTTGCTTTGGTTGAATAACTCCTCACCATTTTCCCTTCCCTACATTTGGAATAGTAATGTATATTCTGTGTTATTATATGTTGGAAGTATGTGGTCTGCTTTTTATTTTGATTTTATACAGGATTGTAATTAAGAGACTGCACAAATCTCATAAGAGACTTTGAACTTTGGACTTTTCAACATTGCTGAGACTTGATAGACTATGGGAACTTTTGAAGTTGAACTAAGTACATTTTTATATTATAATATGCCTACAAGTCTTTTGGGGCTAGGGAGTGGAATGTGATGGTTTGAAAGAAAATGGCCCCCAAAAGGAGTGGCACTATTAGAAGGTGTGGCCTTTTTGGAGTGGGTATGGTCTTGTTTGAGAAAGTGTGTCACTGTGGAGGAGAGCTTTAAGATCCCATATATGCTCAAGTCAGACCCAGTGAATCAGTTTACATCCTGTTGCCTACATATCAAGATATAAAACTCTTGGCTCCTTCTCCAGCACCATGTCTGCCTGCATGCCTCCATGTTCCATCATCCACCATAACGATAATGTGCATACTGAACCTCTGAACTGTAAGCCACCCAATTAAATGTTTTCCTTTATAAGAGTTGCCGTGGTCATGATGTCTCTTCACAGCAACAGAAACGCTAAGACAGGTATATATGAATCATGGTTTTTCTGGCTTCTGCCTCTCACCATATTTGCCTCCAAAATTCTAGAGTCCACTTCTTCAGCTGTTTCTTCCATCTACCTGCTCTAACCACCCACCTAACCTCAACTACTGGGTGAGTATTCTCTCTCTGGCTCCTGGGGTCTTCTATGCCCTCTGGAGCACCCACCACGTGGCCACCTCAAGTCTTCTATGCTCTGTGGGGCCACACCACATGAGAAACTATCTAAGACACTTACCTATCTCCCTCTATTAGAACCCTCACTTTCCCCCAAAAGCTTCTCCCAGTCCACCTTTCAGCTGCTCTCTCCTCTCCTCCTCTACTGGATAAGTGTCACCCTGGCCCTGGAGCTGCCTGCTTTGTCTATTACTGCAAAAGTCACACTGGTGTGCCAGGACACTCCTATTGCCCTACTAAGTCTCTACCACATGGAAGGGTACTCCTCTTCTGTGTGACATAGGACATTTCTCTCTCATAAGTTTCTCAGTCCACTTGGGAATGTCCTGGATTGAAACTCTTGCTACCATGACACTTATCTCTCTGCTCCTTTTGTTCTCTACTCCTTCCTGGAACCTCCTTGCCTCCCATAGGAGCTACAGATCCACAGCTTCCTTAAGCCTTTCTGGGTTTCTACCATATTGGAATCCTCCCTTGGGTGGAGATCCTATTTTCGACCCTCGTCCCTCACAACTACACTGTTCTCTGTCTCTCAGGACCCTCCTGGAGCTTATGGGAACCCTCCCTCCAGTGGCATTTGTTTTGCTACTCTTCCTCTCTTCCTCCTCAGACCCAAAGATTTTATTAAAGCCTTACTGTCTAACTAAAAACAGCTGGGCCTCAATACAGCTCAATCAATGGCCAAAAACTGACATGCTCGATTTTTTCTTCTATGGTACAACTTCTGCCCTTGCACAAACAAATGACCCCAAAATCTCTTATAACTAAACTTCCTCTGCTCTACAATCCCAAAAGTCTCTGCTTTCATACTTCAGAATCTTTTCTCTCTGGTTTCTCTGTGCTTTACTAGGGCTAAATTAATAACTTCTTAGAACTCCATTGATTAAAATCAAAACTGTGCACTTTAGAAGTCTTAATCTAATAATAACATAGAGAGGGAAAGAAATCTGAAACATTTTTCAATTTTTACATACCTTAGATCACTTTCTTAGACATTTACAACTTGCAGTTACTTTCATAGACCCTCACAACTTTTAACATTTTCTTTTTCCATCTAATCACTTACCATGAGACACAAGTGGTTAATTACTGACAGCAGTCATTGCAAACCAAATTCCTTTAAATAAAAGAATAGTAAGAAGTTGCATTGAAATCTGTTATCTCTTTGAGTGTGAAGTCTGCCAGTAAGGTAAACTGTGTCTGTGTCTGCCTTTCTCAACAGGAGAGATCTACTAATCTGGGAAAAGAAAGGCCTTATTTTTCCTTATGAAATGAACTGACATGGCAGCTGAAGCCTTGGGAGAGGAGCTGGTTAGCTTTTTTGTTAACATAAAGCTACAGTTCACCATCAATATCATTGGAGATCTATAGACAAATTTCTAAATGGTCTTATTAAATAAAAAACACTGAGCCAAATATAGGGGTCAGAGCCTTAGAGATCAGGGAAATAGGAAAAGCCACCAGCCAACCTTACCTCACCAACTCTGCAGCTTCCAAATGCAATCTACTTCCTGTCTTACCCATGCCTTTATTGCCTTGCTGCTCTGCCCTCTCACTGGCTATCTTAGCCCAGCTACCTCACTTCCTTGTCACTGCCTGTCTGTACAAACCTTC